CAGCCAATGAAATGTCAGAGTTCAAACATCGGACTCTGCCTGGTAACTCAGTAATAGTCTTTACGTCGACCGGTTCAAACTCCAATCATCAGACTTCAAGTTCACTTCAGACTTCTTTAACGCCACGATCAAAACATCCAATGAGGCACGGTTACAATCTGACAGAAAGTCACCGAAAGCAAAACAGTCCCTCTGAACCAGTGGAGCAACAACACAACATTAGCATGAAGCTAACATGAGTTCACAAACAGCATAACACCCTCCTCGTCTTTAAAGGGGGCACAGACTGTAGTTAATCAAAGACTACAGTCAGGACACTCTCTCCGTCTCTTTCACTCGACACTTCAATCACCTTCTGCGTCTGCAGAATAATGAAGCAGCAATCAAACCACACAGACCGGCTGTCCTACCTCAGCGTCCTACATGTAATCCTGTGAGTTCTTTAAAGTCCAGGATCCCCTCGGACCATCAGCCGGAGCGTCTCTGAGACTCTGAGTCCGCTTGTCACCTCCTCCTCACTGTGTCAGAACAAACTGAGTCACCCTGAAGCCCGGCCCCCTCTGTTTTTCTTTACTATTGTTTACGGTACACTTTCAAGTCTGCCCAGCTCTGTGTGTGTGTGTGTGTGTGTGTGTGTGCGTGTATGTGCGTGTGTGTGTGTGTGTGTGTGTGTGTGTGTGTTTGTTGGTATGTGTGGGGCAGGTTTGGGTGTGTATAAATAGCCCCGTGGGGAGGGACAGAGGCTTGGAGAGCAGCTGACTCAACACATTCTAGTTTGGGTGAGTGCTCATCACACAGAGCTGCGGGCTGCTATCCAAAACACACACACAGTCAACACACACAGTGCAGTACAAACACACACACACAGACACCCACACTGCAGGACAGTCCAACACGCACACACACACACTGCATTTGTTTGGAGCAGAGAAGGTAGGCGGTTTTAAGGCACCCCCAAATGGCCGTTTTGGACGCCCCTCAGTTTGCCAGATATGAGAGCAGTTATCAGGTCAAACCAACAGGTGTTGCAGTGATGGAAGCGGACAAGAGAAGTGGTTCAGATAGAAGTGATTGTACCTGACCTCAAAGGCCTCTGCATGTTTCTAATAAGCTCCACGAGCAGAAACGTGCTCAAACTAGGATCAATATTGGAGATGATTTTGAAAAATGGAGAGAGGTTAGAACACAGAAAGGTTTACAGACCGATGCACAGCTGGATAAACACTGAAGCTTCAGTGAGAGAGAGAGGCAAGAGAAGTGGTTCAGATAGAAGTGATTGTACCCGACCTAAAAAGCCGTCTGTCGTCTGATACTCTTATTCTCTCTTATTACTGACGGCCCCGTCAGCTCAGTGAAACCTGGGGGGGAGAGAAATATTTCATGCAGATCAGCCAGAGCAAAAGAAAAAGGTCAGAAAGTGGAGGAAAAAAACAACACACAGGAAAATGATGAGCAGACGAGAGCCGGCAGTTTAGAAACCACACGGGGTTTTCCTCGCCACCAGCCACACTTTGCATACATTCAAGTTTTTTTAACACTCTAACCGACTCACAATGAACGGGTTCTACTGCTGAAAACATCCCACCTGTAGGAGTGGGTTAGGGTTAGGGTAGAGTCTGAACTCATGATCACATTATACTGAGATAAACTTACCCGACAGCTCACAGAACATCTGGAGCTGCAGATGTTTCTGGATTAAAAAGGAGAGAGAGAGAGAGCAGAGTGAGGGCCCAACACGACGACACAAAGTGTGTGTGTGTTGGGGGAGGGGGGTGGAATCTAAATTTCATACATTCACCACAGAAACTGAAAGTCGTTATGAATGTGAGAGAACAGAGAAGACGTGGAAACTTAACGAAGAGAGGACACCGGCGACATGTTTAACTCTTCATGAAGTTTGAGCCTTGTGTTGTTTAGATTCAGGGAGTTTCTGTAGGCTCACTTCTGAATGTTCATATCTCAGTGATTTCATCTCAAAGATATTAATAAGAGACTTTATGACTGTGCAGCCTTAAAGGTCACATATTCTCCTCCTCTTCAACCAGTCTAAATAAGTCTCAGAGCTCCTCAAAACATGTGTAAAGTTTCTTGTTCTAAATCCACTCTGATCCTGTATTTGATCATGTCTATAAACTCCTCTATTTCAGCCCTGATCAGAACAGGCTGTTTCTGTGTCCGTACCTTTAAATGTAAATGAGCTGTGTTTGACCACGCCCCCTCTCTGGAAGGGCTCGGGTGTCTCGGGCTATCTCACTCCATGTCCTATTGTTTACGGTGAGAAGGCAGACTCAGGGGGCAGAACAAACACCTAGCTGTGGGAGTGTCACCCACCTGGGGGAGGGATTACTGCCCTTTGTGATGTTATGAAGGGAAAATCTCCAAACAGCCTGTTTGAGCACACATTTTCTGAAAAGTGGAGCAGGCAGAAGATGGAGAGGATGGACTTTTCTCATCATTGGGGGGTTTGGAGACGGACTAAAGACATATATTAGAGTTAGAGGAACATGGTGATGATTTTAAGAAATACTGAAATGATTGATGTTCTGAATAAAAACTGATTTCAGACCTAACATCGACTGTTCCTCTTTGGGATTGTTATATGTGTGAATATCTCCTCAGTCTCAGGTCCAGCTGACTCATATAGTTCTGAATGACATCATGTCGTACTGTGTCTTACTGCAGCGCGTCCTATCAGGTTGTTTAACACCGCATGTCCTATTGTGTACTTACTCAAACTACAAACAGCATTCTGCAGTCACTGAAATATTGAACGATGTATAGAAAAGCTCCAGCTGTGCACCGATTGATCTGTTATAATATTCTATAATGAAATTAGTCTTTGTGTTCCTTCAGACCAACATGGAGGTGATAAGATGGCGTGCATGTGGTCACAGTGACAGGTCAACGTAGAGACAAGAGAAAACGAGAAGTGTCTGACCCACAGTTTCATCATCAGCTGGAGAAAACATGTCTCCTCCTCCAGCTCAATGAAGCAACATGTCTCCTGCTCACAGGAGCAACATGTCTCCAGCTCAATGAAGCAACATGTCTCCTGCTCACAGGAGCAACATGTCTCCAGCTCACAGGAGCAACATGTCTCCAGCTCAATGAAGCAACATGTCTCCAGCTCACAGGAGCAACATGTCTCCTGCTCACAGGGGCAACATGTCTCCAGCTCACAGGAGCAACATGTCTCCTGCTCACAGGAGCAACATGTCTCCTGCTCACAGGGGCAACATGTCTCCAGCTCAATAAAGCAACATGTCTCCTGCTCACAGGAGCAACATGTCTCCAGCACACAGGAGCAACATGTCTCCAGCTCACAGGAGCAACATGTCTCCAGCACACAGGAGCAACATGTCTCCAGCACACAGGAGCAACATGTCTCCAGCTCCTCCAGCTCACAGGAGCAACATGTCTCCTCCTCCAGCTCACAGGAGCAACATGTCTCCAGCTCACAGGAGCAACATGTCTCCAGCACACAGGAGCAACATGTCTCCAGCTCACAGGAGCAACATGTCTCCTCCTCCAGCTCACAGGAGCAACATGTCTCCTCCTCCAGCTCACAGGAGCAACATGTCTCCTCCTCCAGCTCAAAGGAGCAACATGTCTCCAGCTCCAGCTCAAAGGAGCAACATGTCTCCAGCTCCAGCTCAAAGGAGCAACATGTCTCCTCCTCCAGCTCACAGGAGCAACATGTCTCCTCCTCCAGCTCAAAGGAGCAACATGTCTCCTCCTCCAGCTCAAAGGAGCAACATGTCTCCAGCTCCAGCTCAAAGGAGCAACATGTCTCCAGCTCACAGGAGCAACATGTCTCCTGCTCAAAGGAGCAACATGTCTCCTGCTCAAAGGAGCAACATGTCTCCTCCTCCCACCGTCCTTCACGTTAGCTCTCAGTTTCTCGCCAAACAGGAAATGCTCAGAAAGCGTGGGAGGGAGCCGCAGCTGAAAATAGCCCGCTGTGTCACAGACTTGTTAACACAGTGACGAAGAGACGCCCATGAAGTTTAGGACACTGAAGAGCAGCATCACCTAAAATCAGACTCAGTATCAGTCTGCTCCAGTCGTCTGTGAGGGTCCCTCTGCAGAAGGAGACTGGTCTCACCTTCACCTTCACTGCTTAGCAACAACAACAAACATCACAACCAGTGTACGGTACTTTCTTAAAGCAGGTCGTCACTTATTTATCATCTGTGGTCGTATGAGTCTGAACAGAGAACTCAGTGTTCATCAGATGACGTCATGCGGTTTGATCCTTTTCAGAGGTCAAAGTTCAGAGTTTTCATTTTATACAAACTGATCACCAGACTCTGAAGCTTCAACTGCCTCAGATCATTGACATGATTTTTGTTCATCCTCATGTGTCTCAAAGGTCCAATCAGTGAGATGTGAGTGAAATGATAAAGTGACTTTACTATATGATCAGACATTAAAGAAACATGCTATGTTGAAGTGCTGGCTTCTCTGACAACAATGCAGCAGCCAGTATGTCCTCCTTCTAACTCTAGATTCTGGTCCTGAATGCTCTGGATTTGTTTGGACCAGAGAAGGTAGACGGTTTTAAGGCACCCCCACACGGCCGTTTTGGACGTCCCTCAGTTTGCCAGATATGAGAGCAGTTATCAGGTCAAACCAACAGGTGTTGCAGAGATGGAAGCGGGCAAGAGAAGTGGTTCAGATAGAAGTGATTGTATCTGACCTAAAAAGCCTCTGCATGTTTCTAATAAGCTCCAGGAGCAGAAACGTGCTCAAACTAGGATCAATATTGGAGATGATTTTGAAAAATAGAGAGAGGTTAGAACACAGAAAGGTTTACAGACCGATGCAGAGCTGGATAAACACTGAAGCTTCAGTGAGAGAGGCATAATCCTGATCATTTTGATTTTTTTAGGTTTTTTGTAAATAAAGGTAAGAACGGTTCGACAGGTCTCTGGATAATCTGGTGACAGAATTCACCGTTACACCTGTTACAAACAGAGATCAGTGCAGCGGACCTGTACCTGGAAATGTCGGATCTCCTGCCGGCTCAGGTCGGTGTCTGCGGGTCATCAGGTCCTCAGAAGTCCACCGGGGTCCTCCTGGTCAAACTAGCTGGTTCAGGTCTGATGTGGACCGGTACGTCTCCTGGTCCAGGTGCTCCTCATCGGAGCGGCGTGAGTCCAAAACTGAAGAAATAGAGAGAGAGAGAGAGAGAGAGAGAGACACTTCCTCGACGAGTTTCCGTGTTTGAAGTCTCATGAGGACGCAGCGAGTCTTCTTCAACAAGCTGCCAGAAAAAAACAAACGAAGAAGGGATGAAAGGAAGCTGACAGGTGTGAAAGTCATTCTGTGATGAACGAGAACACAGCGCCCCCTGCTGGCAGAGACGCGTCAGTGCAGACTCTTAAGAAGTTTCTCTTTAACTCAAACAACAACAATAATAATAATAATAATAATAATAATGACATCAGCAGAGTTTTTAGGATAAAGTCACTCTACATGAAAGGAAACTCGGTCATTACATATCATCAGAAATATTGAAATACATTTACAATATAAAATGAATTAGAGATAATATAATAAGCAATAAGTACCGAGTGAGAGTGAGAACAATAACAAGCTTTGTACAAAGATATAAATAAACTGCTGAGTTCAAATGTGTAGATATTTCTGGCTCAATATGAAGCTGTTGATAGTTTGCAGACAGACTCAGATGGAGGAGTTAAAGAGTCTGACCTCCTGAACATCGACCTGCAGGAGTCAAACAGCAGGTGGCGCCCTAAGACTTCTTCAAACGTCTCACACACACACACACACACACACACACACACACACACACACACACACACACACACACACACACACACACTGAGCTCACTCTCACACACACACACACACACTGAGCTCACACACACACACACACATGCTTTCCTCTGAGTGATTATTAAAGTATGATATCAGTGAGTCTGAATCCAAAGATCTTCTCTTAACCATCAGCTCGATGTGCTGCTCGTCTTTTCTTCTGAACATAAAGATCTTAAAATAACCTGCAGCTCAAACCGACTTATTTATTTAGAATCTGATTATTTTATCAGAAGATTATTAGATCTGTCTTTTAGAATATAGAGCACCTGACCTCCAAGAAAAACACGATGAAGTCATTTTGACCTTTGGAGACGGTATTTAATGACTCTCAGCTTGAACCTGAACTTGTTTTTTTAAGATCTGTTGGACACATGTGGAGGTTACAGAGCAGTTTATTAGTATGGATCTATTGGAGAGTCTGCTCTGATTAAAATAAAATCACTCCTGTCTTTTTATTTTTATTTAAATTGAAAACCTTTTGAGTTGCCTTTCCACCTTTAAACATCTTTGTTGTTGTTTTCTTTCATCTTAAACTGAGTTAGAGCTGTTTTTAAAGGAGGCATGGATTAATGTGCATGTCAACATTTGATCTCAGCTTTACATCATTTTCTTTTTAACTGTTCATGTCAGTGTCCTCCGTCTGCTCCTTCAGGCCTCCTTCTTTGAGTCTGAAGCAAACTCGGCTCCAGCAGGTGAAGCTCCAGCAGGTGAAGCTCCAGCAGGTAGATCTCCCCTCAGGGAAACTTTAAGTTGATCTTATCTCAGAGTAAATAAAGGCGTGTCGTGGAACTTTACTGGAGCTCTGACATAAAGTGGGAGGATAAAAGCTGCAGACGTCCTGATTGGATAATTATTTTAAATATTTCAGTTTTATTTATTCGGGACAAAATGTCCAAGACACAAATACACACACAAACACTCACACATATGCACACACACACACACACACACACACACAAACACACACAAAACACAAACACACACTTGTAGAGGAAATTATTAAGATTTGACTTCACACAATAAGACTTAGTTGACTCAGATGGCTTACGTTGATGAAAGTTTATACATAAGAAGAATACTCATGAGGAGACATGTACTCGTGCTCAATCACATCTCCAGAACTTTTCGAAATGCATCGCCTATATCCCAAAAGACATTACCATTATTAGTATCGTGTCATATTGACCCACCTAGACTAAACTGTGACGTCTGGAGCAGACAACAAGTCTACCAAACATCCTTGCAGATATCAGGAAGAACAGTTGACACTCTCCAAGCTGTACATGGTTTTCTAATAACAGCTAAACTCTGTCAGGTCTGACTGACATTAGAGAACAGTGAATAACCCTAATTACATCTGTACATTATAATCTAAATAACTACAGAAATTCCACACACACACACACACATACACACACACAAAAACATATACACACAAACACACTCACACACACACACAGAAACACACACACACACTCAGGCATGTAGGTCAACGTGTTTTGGAGGTCAGAATCATTAAAAACCATCTGTATCGTCACACGTCTGAACTCCCATGATGCACAGGGGCATGCATTGTTTGGAAGGAGGAACTAGAGAAACTTGTAGATTCTTCTCTGAGATCGTGTGCAGCCTCAGTGCGACACATTCCTCCACATCCACGCCTCCCGTCTGCGTCCTCTGATCCACGTGGGATCAACACTTCCTCCTGTGTCGTTCATGCGTCCTGCTCATGAGGCGCTGCGGGTTCAAATCTGTGATTTAAGAGAGCAAAATAAAAACATCTCTGTATGGTGTTTCCTGCCTGGTGACCCCCCCGCCCTCCTGTCCTCACACAGCTCACATCCTCTGCTCACTCTTTGACAGTTACAATGTGATGACTCACACACACACACACACACACAAAAACACACACACACAAACACACACACACACACACACAAACACACACAAACACACACACACAAAAACACACACACAGATACACACACACACACACACACACACACACACACACACACACACACACACACACACACACACTCGCACACACACACACACACACACTAGCATTCTTTCAGACCGTGTCACTCACTGAGCTTGCTTTCTAGACACTGTGGAAAATCACTGAATGATGCAGCCTCCTCAAACTCAGACTTCTCTAACCTCCTGACTGTTTCATTTTACAGTATTAGTCTAATATAATATATGTTGACCAAAATATTTAATTTTGGTCAACATATCACCAGTATCAGGGTTAAGTGTCTTGCCCAAGGACACATCGGACATGTTGCCCAGCTGGGGATCGAACCCTTGACCTTCCAGTTGAGAGGCGACAGCTTCCTGACAAACTGTTACACCGCGCCCGCCTGTCAATCATGTCAGCTACACGGCTTATTGTGAATAACTCTTATCCTTCATCAAATCAAAACTGATGAATCATCAAAACATTCACCCCCCGGTACAGTGTGTGCTGATCGAGACATGAGCTAATCAGACCTGTTTGGTTTTTTGAACCAGGCTGTAAAAACAGGTTTTTTAGAATGGGTGGGTATGTGACTTCCTGTGCTTCTGTAGCAAGCCTCTAGTGGTTTACAAACAGATGGACTTGAGAAAAAAATTAATAAAGAGACGCGCGGTGGAGTCCGCGTCCAGACATCAGAGAACATGACAGCAACTTCATGTCTTTACTTTGAGTCATGTTAGTCAAATACAGACTGAACACTTTGGATTTCTCCTGAATGAAGGCTGTCAGCGTTGTGTACCCGCGTGCTTGTGCTTGTGCAAGTGTACCGTGATGAAGAACACCTCTCTGAAGCGTGCCAGAGCTGAGGAAGTGTACAGAGCCTGAGCACGTTACGGAGCGTCACACTGGTCAAATGAACTGGAGTTTAGGGGTGAAGCGTGAAGCTTAGTATACATGTACTGAATACTGAATACTGTGTTGGACAGTAGTCTGACCGTTGACCTCCAGTCGGTGGTTACCCTGCAGTAAGCCAGGCACGGCTGGTGTACTGCATGTCGACCTCTGACCTGTCGCTTTTCATTGTGGGAAACAGACTGGTCTGATGCAGACTGTAGATTTTTACTGAATCAGAACCACATCCGGGTACTTTTGACAAACTGAGGATCTCACATTGTTCACATACTTTGGACCAATCAGGACGGACTATAGGACAGGCTCAGAAAAGAAACAAGAAACTGAACCGTTTAGAAGTTTGTGGTGAACGAAGGTCTGATGAGGTCTGCTAGAAGAGCGGCTGCTCCTCTGATTAAAGAGCTCACTGAGCCAGGTGAGTTTCATCCTGATGATCCCCTGAAGCCCCGGTGACCTGGAGCAGTGAAGAGTCCCACGTAGAGGGCCGTTACCACCACAGGTTGAATACTTATTAATTAAGTATTTAAAGAGACTGAACTCTGCAGCAGAAGTTAAAGAGTGAACAATGCTCACACTTAATCGTTATCAACTTCTCTATTATTCATTAATTTCTGTCCGAGGACAGCGAGCACTCACTGTGTTGTAACGTTTGTTAGCTCTCTGGCGTGTTGGATGGCGAGCCCCAAACCACTGAACCTTGCATACACTTGGGCTGACTCCGTGACCTGAACGTCTCGGACTGTTTGGATAATCTGCTGTGGATAGTCAAAACATTTGACAGGTGTTCTTCAAATGTTTATCTATCAGTGTGCCCCGATCAGGGTTGAGGTCGCACACACACACAGACACACACAGACACCCACACCCCCACACACACACACACACACACACACACACACACACACACACACACACACACACACACACACACACACACACACACAGCCGTGGTCAATCTGTACGCTGGTGACACACATCTTTATGTAACAGTGTGGGTTATGATGAACGTGTTTTTAAAGAAGCTTAAGTTTAGGTAAAGATTCTTAAGATACCAGTAAAAATTAAACGAGCTGTTTACGATACCATGGCAACCAAAAAGACGTCCTGAACACCCATTTTTGTGTAAACATTTTTTATTTACCAAAAGTTGCAGGTAACTTCCTGCACACTGGTGGGGCTGGGTGTCCTCATTGATGTCTGCGGGGGGTCGGAGGCGTTATGAACACATTCACATGAATGTGAAGCTTTAATAAACCCTTTCTGTCTCCACAATAACGTGTCAACATTGAATCCCATTTTCCACATACCCCATGAATGCAGCGGTTCGTCAGTAAAGGAAGCTCCCAGCAGCCGGTTGTAAAGTCCTGCCTCTGGCGAGGCAAACAGCCAATCACAGTTCATGTTTTTGGGGTGGGCTCTGAGCTGCACCGCCTGGCTCCACCCCTGTGGACACTGTCTACATTTTACAAGTACGTTGGCAACTTTTTGGTAGTGAAATGTTGCCAACAAAATTATACAATTTAGATGTTGCTCTCTCTCTTTTAAAACGTGACTGAACACCTCTCACGCCTGTTTGAATCCCAACCAGAAGATCAGGCGAGGACAAAGTTATGTAACATCAGAGATACGGATCATTCCAAAACAATTTGTCACATGTTTGAACGCCCTCAAACACGATATCACAGATAACAACATCAGGAACAGCAGTTTTTGTTTTGATGTTGTTTTACCCAAGCGTCTGCAACTTCCTCAATTCTTCTGTCTGTGTGTGTGTGTGTGTGTGTGTGTGTGTGTGCGTGCTGACACGACGTGTGTGTGTGTGTGTGTGCTGAGACGTTGTGTGTGTGTGTGTGTGTGTGCTGGCACGTCGTGTGTGTGTGTTCTGACACGTCGTGTGTGTGTGTGCTGACACGTCACACATTCCTGCACTCGTGTGTGGCTCTTCGTGGTGTTTTGGAGGAATTGAACGAGAACTTGTTCCAAATATCCTGAAATCTGCAGAAAGCTCAGTGTGAAACTTTAAAACTTCTCACCCTCTTATTGATGTTTAAATGTAAACTTCTGACCCTCTTATTGACATTTAGCTCCCTGAGGAGATCACTCACAGAATCAGTCACTTCCTTTATTGAAATAATAATTTTATAGAAGTGTTACTTGAGGTCGTCTTCTTCTAACTCATTAGATTTCATATGTTCTACTTTTCACTTCTTATTTCATCTTTTCATTTCTGTTTGTCATGATTATTCTCCATTCCTCTTCTTGCTTTGACTTTATTGCTTTAACAGCATATTAACTGTCTGAGTCAATAATAAAATGTGCACAAGGAGCACACGGAGCACAAGGACCACACCCACAGATGAGCACATGGAGCACACGGAGGAACACGGAGCACATGGAGCACACGGAGCACAAGGACCACGCCCATAGAGGAGCACATGGAGCACACGGAGCACAAGGACCACGCCCATAGAGGAGCACATGGAGCACACGGGGCAGAGAGACAGAGTGGGGAATAACCAATATGAGCCTTGAGGACCACAGCCTCCCTACATGGGGCGTGCCCACTAACCACCATGATTTTCTTTAAAAATAATAATAATGTAGAGTAGTGCTGTCAGCATAAAGTAGTGAATCTGGACGAACTGTCTGTGCGGAGGTCAGTTCAGGGCAGCTGGGTTCTTGGCGCCTCCTCTGACTTTCAGGGCCAAAGGTGTCCTCTGTCAGCTTATACCAGGTTGTTGTCATTCTTTACCGTGGTCACACAGATGCCGTCCCACGTGGCGACCTTTACGACCAGGGTCAGAGGGGGCGGGGTCAGGATGTGTGCTATCCAAGTGGTTGGACACTGTAGACTGATTTATGGATAGAAATCAACTGCGGGGTTATTTAAAGAGGCCATATTAAGCCCTTTTTGGGGTTTGTATATTTAATCTATGTACCTACTTTTGTACGTTCACAATAGCTAAAGTCTGAAAAAAGTGTCTGTTTTCATGTGCTGCTCCTCCTTGCTCCCTCTCCGCTTTGAGTCCGTCAGCTACACTCTGCTGAGCCCCCACTGCAGAGCCCCACGTGGGCCAAGTCTGCTCTGATTGGTCTGCCGATCCGCTCTGTCATTATTGGTCAGTTGCTCAGCACGCTTCTCGGAAATTTCAACATGAGCTGCAGGGCTTGACACAACGAGCCAATGGACTTAGATCAGTGATCTCACACTGACAATGACGCTGCACTGACACATTTTTATCGCGGGGGGCTAGAACCGAGCGTTACATGCGGCTAATGCTACAGCTAACAGGAGGACGTAGGAGAAGTTGCGTTTCCACGGACTTTGAATTTTTGCACATAGATGTGCCTAAACATGCACAGGACACTTGGAAAACACACTAAAGAAGCATATAAAACCAGAAAAAGCATAATATGGGACCTTTAAGAACCTTCAACCTTTACTAACTACCAACTATTCCCAATGTATCCACTGCATACTAACCCGACCATTAGCAACCATAGACTGTAAATATTAAGTTAGCAACATACGGGTCACGCGACGCACTTCCGGTCTGAGCTCCGTTCTGAGCTAGAATCAAGCTAGCATCAAGCTAGCTCGACCGTCGGTCCGTAAATATAATTCAATAATATACAAACGGCCATTTTAATATTATTTAGCAACATGTAAAATGTATTTCAGAACAGAACTTTTGTTTTCAGCCGCTAGTTGGCTGGCTGGAGAGCTCAGTGATTGGACAGTCTGAGAGCCGCAGTGCATTGTGGGGCGACTCAGTTGATCACCAGTTGCTTCCGTTTCGAAAAATAAATCTTAAAATTATACCCAATTCCGTTCTGATCTAGTAAACATCCGGGAAAATTGCGATTTCGGATCATGCCCTGCCCCACATACTCCTTGTGACGTTTCGGACACAGCCTATGTTGGTTTGCAGGAGCTGGAAGTGACCATATTTGGGCAAGTGGGCGGCGCTTGATGAGTTAGGTGCTAGGGGTCTATTTCTGTGTTTTTCTTGTTGTTTTTGACACATTTGAAAGTCTAATGTTTAAATGACTGACGTGTTCGTGTAGTAATGTCACGGCGTTGCGTTCTCGTCTCTATGGAGACAAATATTCTCTACATTAATGAACTAAAAAAGTCATGTCATTTCTTCAAAGCAGCATGTTGCTGTTGGAGGAGCAGACAATTTGAAGGTGTGTCCACTTCCTCTAAACAATAAAACAAACAACTTTTACTTAAAAAAAATCTTTATTTCAAACTACAAACACACTCACACACATTCAGAGACAAGAGAACTATAGAAACTTTATACATTCAAAAGTAGAGCTGTCAACGATTAAATCACGATGAATCGCATCATTTGAATTCCATTATTTCACATTTCAAAATAAAAGTTGTCAGGCTTTTATTTTGTGTAATTAAATCAATCAGACCGATGGTTTCGTGCAAGTTCTCTCTGTGGAGGTGTTTACATTAAACTATCACGCAGTGTTATCATCTGGTGTTAGCTAACAAAACAAAGGTACTCCTGGAGGCGGCCATGTTGCTTTTCCGACTTGCAACTTGAACGCAGTTTACTCGGGTGTGACGTCATTCCCAGTTCCGAGAGCCGAGGCAAATGGAACGCGGCAATAAAGTTAAGCCCAGAAACAGGAAGTGGTTAGGGATCCAAAAGTGATGTCAACCAGCTCAAAGGAACGGTAACAAAGGTCAATGTGTGATGTCATAACATGGATATGACTTTGGGCTCATCAGCTGAGCTGTCTGAGAGTTTGTTAAAGTGAAACATTCAAAGATGTAGCAGCAGGTTATTCATGGTGACAGCCTTACTTTTAACATATTTTTAAAGCTTCATGTGGCGAGTGTTTCTCATCACGCGGCTGACCAATGTGTTCTGCAAACCCCGGATAAGGTTCACTAACGAGAGACACGTCTTCCATGAGTCAACAAGAACGTTTGAAAGCCAGCCAAGCTCTGGCAGACAGAGAAAACCTTTGGCTTCAGCACAGACAGTCGGGAAGCCGTCCAGAACACGGCTGCTCTAACTTTCACATGTCCTCACCACAAACTGAAATCTAAAAACCATTTTGAAACATTCAAACACGTGTGATTGGCTTCAGAGGGTCAGACACACGTCTTACTCTGAGCGGTGAGACATGTGGACGCTTTCACATTAAAAGGAACATTAAGAAGAGAAAATGAAGTGGAAAAAATAAGGTTTGAAACCCTCCATATGTTTATACACATGTTACATTTTTATATATATACACACACACACGCATATACATGTCACACGAGACTGTTGACTGGTTTCTGTACAAGTTCAAATAAAGAAGGCTAGCGGCAGAGGTGAGAAGTGATCAAACGACACTCGGGTGTCAAAGGCTTCTTCTGCCCCACAGGGCACTCACACGCACGTACACGTAAACACACATACTCAACCACTGTCAGATGTGCACACTCACACGTGCACACAGAGACCAAACAGCACGTTTGCCATTTTTGTCTTCACTCTGCAACATGTTTGAGGTGGGCTGAAGTTGGGGGGTGGAGCTCTGAGGTGGGCAGGGCAGTTTGGTCTGTGAGTGAAAACATCAGCAGCCTTTCAGGTGATCGTGTGTGATATCTGGTGATCATGAAGGTAATCATATTCTGTTGTTTTTATTTGTGGTACGTTAACAGGGACATGCTGGGTATGCATCATCCGTCTGCTTGTAGCATGTGGTGCTACTCTCCTCCATGTTTCTAATAGAAATGAGAGAAGACGAGCACTCAGGTGTAATTTTTGATGACATGTAAAAACAGGTTTAAGGTTTAAAATAATCTTTGGGGAGTTTTAAAGCAAAAATAAAAAGTTTGGTCACAGCAGCGTTTTAACTAACTAACTAACTGTTTGTGTGTGTCATACAGTGATGTAGAACTCATCACCAATCAAAGAGACACTGATCTGAATCCTTATCATGCAAGCGTCTTTCTAACACTCGTCACTGACTCGGACTCGTCTCTGAGAACCGCCTCTGAATGACCTCTGCCTGCGTCTCACACTGCAGAGGATTCATGCATCAGTGTTTGAATAGATGATCTTTGTTTAAGGCATGTTTGTGCATCGGTCGATGATTTTCCTACAAACAGAGAGTAGATAAATATTGTGACATTGTCTTCTTTCTAAAGAAATGTCGGGGTTGTAACGTCCACAGAGCAGACATGAGACTCTTCCCTTTAGCTCGCCCACCTGGACACACCTGACGTGGTGAGAGAGCCCCGTGAGCAGGAGACGGTTAAACAGTCGAACACAGGCATCACACTGATATGACGGAGGGGGGGTTGACCACATAGGTTTGATTGTGTGCTGACCCCAGCACATGTTTACTAAAGCACTTCCTGTATAAAAAATAAATATGTACAAAACAATGTCCAGCTGTGAGCAGGTGGGGTTGGGGGGGTTGGGGGGATTTGTGTAACTTCTCTCCTGTCCTGAAAGTTTCATGAAAACTGTTTTGTAAGGGTTCATTTCCAGTTTCCTGCTGCTGCAGGTGGGCGGTTCTGGTTCCGGTTCTGGGGGATGCAGGTTTAGATGACTTTGTAGGTCAGGTAGTCTCGGAGAGGTGTGGGGATGGCGAGGGTCTCCACCTGCTGCGTGGTCATCACCCGACGCAGCGCCATCCTGCACATGTGCTGCAGACTGGAGACACTAAGAGGGCTCTCCCAGAAGTGCATGCTGCCGTCACGAGTTCTGCAGAAGAAGAAGAAAAGAGAGAGAGAGAGAGAGAGAGAGAGCAAACAAGAGGAGGGTGTTCCAACACAGGAACATCACACACCAAAGTCAAACAAAATCTACACTCAGACGGAGAAAACCTGGAGGACTGGTTTCCTGATACAATGTGAGGCTGTGTGTGTGAGTGTCTCACCCAGCAGCTAGGACATTTCCTTCAGCAGAGAAGGCACAGCAGAGGCCGTTGGACAGCGAGGCGATGGCCTGAGGAGCTCTCTCCTCGATGCTCCAGAAACGAACCAACCTGAGAGCAGAGAGACGTTGGAGTGACCACGAGCGTCTTCACACTGTGACATTAGAGTGAGCACGAGCGTCTTTACACACAAGGCGAGTGACCACGAGTGTCTTTACACACAAGGCGAGTGACCACGAGCGTCTTTACACACAAGGCGAGTGACCATGGCAGACTGGAAGAGTCTTTACTAACGTCAGAGTTCTGCGTGTTTGTCGTGTGCCTGCAGATAAAAACTGTCTTCCTGATGTTTCAGCGGAAGTCTGCTCCCGTTTCTTTTTCCACGCCGCTTCCTTCCTCACTTTTTTCCACCAGCTCTTCAGAGCTTGGTCAGCCAGCGGTCACAGTGATTAATGGCCATCTTGTGACGGTCATGTGATCTGTCCAAACACAGCAGCATACAGCGGCTCCATTAAGACTTCATAACTCTGAGCGAGGAAAACAAACTGCTGCTGTTATTCTCCATCAGCGTGTGCACGACACGTCAGACGTGAACAAACATCAGCTCAGGACACACACGGCTCCACACACACACACAGGGCTCCAAACACACACATGGCTTCACACACACACACACACACACACACACACACACACACACACAGGGCTCTAAACACACACAGGGCTCCACACACACGGCTCCACACACACACACGGCTCGGTACAGCCTCCTGCTGCTGCTTTAGGACTTGAATGAAAGTGTTGCAGACGGTCATTCAGACTGATGTGACCGACTGACACGCCACATGACGTTATGATCCCAGAGCTTCAAATAATGGATTGGTTTGAAGGTTTTGACTAAAGGTCGACAAAGAAAGGAAAGATGTTCCTTTGAGTGAACATGTAACCCACACTGAGAGAACAGCACATTGAACGTGTTATATCTTCAGACCCGTGCAGATCATCATTTTCAGAAACTAACAACGTGTAGAACAAACTGGAGGAGGAGCCAGGACGTGTATTCGACCTCTGTTGATTGTTTGTCTTTCGCTCCTTAAAAAGGAAGAATGTGCGACATGTTTCACATAAATAAATCAGGAATAAGGTATATCCTGTGTAAACGTCTCTCTGAGTCATGACTATCTACAATGAGTGAGAAGCTCAAGTCACCGTTATGAGACGACGTCATCAGAGACGCCACAACACAAAGACGTTTGAGTGGACACTGTTTACTTTTCTTTAGTGTGGCGTTTAGTCGGACTAAAGTTTGAAGGTTTTTAAAGAACACGTTGGTGTGATGAGTTGAAATAACGATGAAGATTCAAAGACTGCAAACGTATTTGATCACAAACAAAGACACAGAAACGTCTCATTAAATAATCTGTGGATGAAGAGAGACTGCAGATGTTACCTGAGATCTCCTTTCAGTGTCTCACCTGTCGTCTGTGATGCTGGCGATGTGACGTCCATCGGGGCAGAAGCTCACAGAGCGAACCCAGCGGTCGTTTGATCCTCCAGCGAAGATGGGAGATGGAGGAGGGAAGAGGTGTCTGCAGAGTGAGGAGACACAGCGTCAGGACACATTCTCGGCTTCAAGATAAACACGGACTGTTTGAGTTAATACGTATCGAACTTTGAGCACATTTATTATCAGGAATTAAAAGAACTGTGCGATCAGAGGACAAATATTCGCTCTCTTCAGTACACAGGTTACATAACCAGCTGAGGTCACATGTTGATATTAATTATTGTGTAATCAACGTCTCCTTGAGCCCTTTACCATTTCCTGTTTCACCATCAGGAAGCCTAAAGTCCTCACAGTTTACTCCACCAGCTGATTAACCTTAAAGGAAGAATATGTGATTTTTCACACTTAAATGTAGCAGAAATCAAATTTATCCTCTGAAAATAACACTGTGAGTCATGACTGTCTACAATGAGTGTGACACCCGAGTCCCGCTGTCTGTTTCTGAGCCGTAGCTACACTTTATTTACGTTCCCTGGACGGCCAGCCGGCTCCTCCCCTTGTGTATAAAAGTTGTTTAATTGAGGGACTAGAGAAAAGAAGAATAACATACTGTACTCTCTGATTATTTGAATGTCACGTAAGCGTGTCTCGATCACGGTCATTTACTGTAAATGTACATGCAGTGTGAAGATACGAGCAAACTAAAGATCGCTAGCATTAGCATGCTAACACAACAATGCAGCAGGAGTTGTTTTTGTTTGAATGCTGATGCTCATGGGCGACATCTACTGGATCAAAAAGTCACATATTCTTCCTTTAACCAGACGTGCAATGTGGAGACAACAACAACAACAACAACAACAAAGGCTCGGATGTACAAAGTGTGTTTCTGGAAGAGTCCTCTAGAGCAGGGGTTCCCAAACTTTTCATCTTGCGACCCCCATTATGACGGTGATAGATACTTGGGACCCGACATTTGATGCACTAGGTCAAAACACTGGCATTAAAACAGAAAACAATAGCCCAAACACCATCATATTATTTTTGTAATTTATTGTAAGAAATTAATTTTTTTACCTACTGTATTTTCAAATTAATGGGTGAAATATCCAATTTTAAACCATTTTCCATTTTTATATGTTTTTGAAAGGAATCTCGCGACCCCCACTTTGGGAACCACTGCTCTAGAGGGAGCACCACATAAATCAGACGCCGTAAAACACCAAAGTCGAGATGATCTGGTGTTTGTATTCTTACCCCAGCTCCAGCAGGTTGGTGCCCTTGTCGTGGTCCCACAGGATGACCCGCGTGTCATAAGAGGCGGTCGCTAACAGCGCCCCATCTGGTGAGAAGTCACATGACACTACGTCATGGTGGTGGCCCTCCAGCTTCCGGATCAACGCGTACTGATCCATGTTCCATAGGAACACCTGTAAGGTGAAGAGGGGCCTGTTACAGCGGGAGCAGTGGTTGGTTCGAGTCATAGATGTCTGAATTATAAACAGATTGAATTAACAGCATGAATTAAAGAGAATTAATCAATTTAACCAGGAACACCAAACACACAAGCTCATGCTACAAAAGCAGCAAGGCTGCGTCACAATGCAACACTATGTTAACTTTAAACATGTGCATCTTAGACTAAAAGTTCAGCTGAGTTAACGTGAAGAAAGGAAATAATCAAACAGGAAGTAACTTAAGGTTACATTATGTTACTGCACGGGTCTCTTTACAAAAGGCTCGCAGCTCCAGGACTACGAAGAGAGACTGCAAGAGAGAAGAAGAATTTATGGCCAAAGGACAGACACCTCCGCCAAAGTACACACACACATACACATTACAGTCACACACACTCATTACAGTCACACACACACTCATTACAGTCACACACACACACACACACACACACAGTCCTCATGGTTGTGTGTGTTGATATCTGTGCTGCTGTAAATCAGTCGTCAGGTAGGTGTTATGTAACATGTGCACTTTGTGGGGAAACAGGAGAAACTGTTTGTTGACAGATGAAGTTAATGATTATATAAAATCACTCACATGCAGCCGACTGTTTACTGACTCACTTATTTCCTATTTTCTACTTTCAGAAGAGAAGTTAGAAACAGAAGCAGCTTTTCTCTCAGGGATTTCCTAACTGTGTGTTATATAACTCATCTGCAGACCATTTATTGTTGTTCCACTGCCCACAGCAGAGACTGTGTGGAGCTCTTTATGAAACTTTTTAAAGTCACAGGTCTGAATAAGTGCATGCAGTAATTCAAAGGTGTCTAAACCTGCACAGTAGCTGTGCCTGTGATAGGTCATTAGATGAAGAAGAAGCAGCTGCTGGAGAACAGTGACAGTGAGGGTGGGCATGCTCGTTGTTAAACTAAATCTTCTCTATGAATGTGGATGATGCTGTGAGAGAAACATTTACACTGACAGTAAAGATCCTGGTTACACAGAAGCTAGTGTGTGCAGAAAGAGGGCGGAGCTATTTCAAGATGGGGAGGGGGGTAGAGATGGGTTTAGGAGAGAGGTGAGGGGGGGGATGTTTAACAACCAATTGTAAACTGAAATTAAATAAGAGGAACTGCAACAGCAGAGGTAGACAGACACGGAGCAGCACCTACGTACAGATTGACCTTGCGGGTCAGGTGCCAGGCGGCCTGGCGAGGCCTTTGGGCATTGCGTACTGTGCGTCCCCGGTTTACACCGGCTGCTCAAAATGTCAGCGCGGCGCTCCGTTCAAAACCAATCACACACTGAGCTCTGCCACCACCTGTGACAGGAAGAGCAAGACACACTTTGTAGGGACACACACAGCCTAACAACCATGACTACCTGAACCTCCATGTTGACATAGTTTAAGCTAACAGTGGAAGCTACTCCTCAAACATGTCTGCTAACCTTTAGGTGTATACAGAGTTAACATGAGGACTTCTAAAGAGTATCATTACAGCCTGATCATGTGGAGTTAAACAGTTTAACCTTTATCATCTTTAAGATCTGTGCTCTGCATGCAGACTTCAGAACACCAAGAGCAAAAAAAAAAAGGACGAAGCTCAACTAATCACAACACCAGGCACATTAGTTCTGAGCTGTAAATGAAGGGCGCAGCAGACTGGGAGGGTTTTCATTTGGAGGTTGATTGAGCACAACAAGCAGATTCACACATACGTAGGGAAATAAGAACTTGTGTACGTACTGCTTTTCCTGCGCCGACGGAGCATAGGATGGAGGAGTTTGGTGAGAAGGCCGTGCAGTACACCCAGTTCTGATGCCCGCGCAGAACCTTCACCATGTTCCCTGCAGAACACAAAATACATCAGTGGAAGGATGTTTACCACTGTCAGAGCTACACAGCTGCCACAACACCTACAGGGTGAGTCATCGGATCTGTGAAGAGAGAAAAGTAATGGCAAGCAGAGGGGGAGACGAGAGACGAGGAAGCAAAGAGAGAGAGGAGTAAGGAAGCAGAGAGGGAGACGAGAGAAGGAAGCAGAGAGGGAGAGGAGAGGAGTGAGGAACACGAGAGGGAGAGGGGTGAGGAACACAAGAGAGGAGTGAGGAACACAAGAGGAGAGGAGTGAGGAACACAAGAGGAGAGGAGTGAGGAACACGAGAGAGGAGTGAGGAACACGAGAGGGAGACAGGAGACAGGAGACAAGGAGTGAGGGACTCCGACAGGAAGCAGAGCAGAGGAGCTCCACCCTCCCTTGCTCCCTCACCTTGCAGAGGAGCTCCTTGCTCACTCACCCTGCAGAGGTCAGAGGTCAAATGATCTGTGTTTCTGATAGTTTTTGTTTTGAAAGAAAAATCAGATCAGGGCCCCTCATATCTTCTGTATGTGTTGTGTATAAGAACTCTCTAGCTGTAAATGGTGCTTCGAGTCCCCGGGCTGAATTTAAACTGTCAACATCAGAACAAAAACAAAGAGGTCACATGATTCTGTTGACACCTCTCTTGAACACTGCTGCTTACTATTCATACATCTGTGTTTCACTTTCCTTTTTACATTTCACCATCTCATCAGGTCACATTTGTTTTAATTGTCCAGCTTTAAAATCTGATCATCTTTACTCATGTTCTTATGAATTCATTGGTTTATACTGTATATACAAGCTTTATTTTGATAGGACAGGATGTACCGTAAACATATCGGGATATTTATGGTTACCAGAAACAGACACATGAAAGAGTCTCTCATCTGTTGTCCTTCAAGATGTTTCTAAATGTATATTTTCTCTTTTTTCAAATAAACAATGTAAACAGGAAGTTGATGTGCGTACCATCGTCCTTGAGGTCCCACACTCTCAGGGTTTTATCTCGGGATGCAGAGACCAGCATGAGGCTGCCGTCGGGGGCAAAAGTCAAGTCCCGCACCACATCAGTGTGGTCCATCAGATTCAGCAACAGTTTTCCTGCAAACATGCGTCACATGATTAATCAAAGAGTTTTAGCAACACGTGGCAGCTAAGTCACAAAGGTAAAAGGGGCGTGTCCTCACCAGTGTATACATCCCAGATCTTGATGCGTCCGTTGTTGAGGCCCGTTGCGAGCAGCAGCTGGTCTTGGCCGAACTTGAAGCGGTGCCACTCGATGTTCACACAGCGGCTCTGCTTCTCTGGCACGGACGAGCCGAACGCCATTCCCCACACGGTGTCACCGCAGTCGATGGTGTGTTCACGGGGCTCTCCGCCCACTGGGACGACCTGTCCTCCATCGCTGCCCCGACGGGAGAGATGTTCGAGGCTGGAAGCATCGGTGACCTCCCCACTGTGACCCAGTGAGCTGCAGCGACAGAGAGCAAAGACAGAAGATGACGGTGACGATCGTCATGAAACCAGAACTTTAAACTTTGACACCATTCTAGTAAAAATCTAAAGAAGTCTATGTTGTGATACCGCTGAAGTCCTGCGCGTTTGACTGATGTTGTGTGGTTACTTGTGTGTTACAGCCCGGCTGCTCACTAAGCACACAGACGCTGGATTCTGCTCCTGCTGATCCTATGACAACAAAGCAACACAGTATATCTGGTTCAGCCAACCCTGGACTAGCCAACCCTGGACTAGAGAACCCCCCCCCCCCCCCAGCTGCAGAGTTAAGTATCTGTTGGCTCTGCAGGGAAACAGCAGCTCAGCAGCCTGACGTTAGAAACAAACAGCTCTTGTTCTTAAGACTGACTCAAACGGCGGCTCTGAGAGTCACAAGGCCGCTTGGAGACGGGAAGAGGAACCGTTTAAGCAGAAAGGTGGCTGAATATATAAGACATGTCGCCAGCTCTGAGGAGAACCTCTCTGTTTGAGTTTCAGGGACCTGAAAACACTTTGAACATCATCAACAGCTCTGAAGCTGCTTTCTGTGACTCTGAAAATCAACGACTCCATCACGGCTCAGACGTGACCTTCTCCAGCGACATACGCTTAGGTCCACAGCGAGTTATCTCTAACACTTAATATGAAGGAAATAGAAGCGTTAACTGTGGTGAGGGTAACGTGTTGTTGTAGAAAAAACAGGTCAGTCGGTAACATAAGACCAAGAGATTTTAAGTTCAAATTCCTGTTCCCTTCAGGGGAAATTCTTGGTTTGCATAACTCAGTGATATATCACCAACGAGCAGGCGGGGTCTCTGAGTGAGACAGTCTGTAATTCAGTCAGAGAGGAATTCAACACAGAGCAGGCGAGGGAGCAGGGAAGATTCTGGATGTTAGTCTGCATTAATCATCGAGCTGTGGATCTGTCAGGGTTCGAACTTGTTTTCTAGGGTGGGTGGGGCGACCTGGACTCAAGTCCTAACAACGAGACTCATTCACCACTCCCCCTCTCATGAAACCATAAATGAGCTGTTCACCTCTGAACACAGCTTCTTCACAGAGGGTTAGGAATCATTAATAACAAACACATGAGGTTGGTGCTGCAGTCTCATGTCTCCCAGGGTTAGGGTAGAAATGTTTTATTTGGTGAAGATTCAGACCGTTTCAAATACGGAACTTTTGGAGTTTTTCTAGTTCGTTTGTTTCAAAGGTGACTTCACAAGAAAAACATGAAGGTTTTGAAAAACAACCACAAAGTTGTGTAAATGTTGTTTTTGCAGTCAGACAAGTTTGGAGGGAGTTTCTGTGAATCGTTCAGTTTCAGACACGTCGACACTTCTCACAAGACAGGTGTGTCTGTGTCCATCGTTTCTTAAAGGTAAACTTCTGCACTCCATCTGGCAGTCTGTCTGATGGTGTTCTAACACAGAAACGTGTGTTTGCAGGTGAGAGACTGAGAATTAAAGAGTAACTAAACCATAAAACCACTTTTTTTCCAACTATAAACCTCTGTATTTGAGTATTAAGTAGTGTTATGGATCAATCCAAGTCCCAATCTCGACATTTGAGTACAAAGTATTGAAATTTGAAATATTGTGTTAGAAGTGTGCATAGTGTCTGCCCTTCCCTTTGAAAAACTCTAACGGCTGTGTGGAGTACAGTATGACGTAGGAGTACAGCCCCACGTCACCAAACCTATAAAAGCCTCGTCACCCGACTCGGCGAACTGTGGGGAGTCAAGTGTGTGTGTATATGTGTGTATTTGTGTGTGTGGGGCAAACATTGTATCATGTTGCGGCTGATAACGACGCGGAGCAGTGAGTGGGCGTGTCTTACCCCCGCCCCGCCCCCCTCCTTCTCGAAGTTGATACATTGACGTTCTAAATGCATTTTTTTAAATTCCAGGGTCGAGCAGTAGAGCTGAAAATATGGGGTTTAGTTACCCTTTAATGTATTTGATGCGAGTTATTATGTGCAGGATTCCTGGACTTGTAACAGAGCGTATTTTAGATACTCACAAGTTCTTCAGGCATTGTGTCCAGGGAATAAGCCTCACAATGCGATGCCCCTGAGACCACGCCAAGTAGGAGCCATTAGGTGCAAAGGCGACAGTCCAAGCCTCGCGCCCGGACTTCTGGTCAAAGGGAGCAACAGGTACGAGGAGTTCACCGATGAACTTAGCCTTACCTGGACAACAACACAAACACGGTCGGTGACTTCAGAGCAATTATTAACAGGTACACACCCACAGAGTATCAAATCATAGCAAAGAGGCGTCCTCTGTGACTCGCCATACACAAGAGGGCCTGTCACCGACGCTGGCACCTGATTGGACAACCAGCAATGGGAGTGAAACACGATAACATTGTGCAATAAGGATAAGACATGTGATAAACAAACAGAAAAAAAAGAGCTAATATGAGCATTCTGCTGTCTTCCATGTTTCATAAAACTCCTGTTTGCAACACGTCTGTCTTAAAAACAACAACAAACACGTTTGATTTTATTATAATTATTAAAGATGGAACTGATAGTTAGCCTTAGCTTCCTCTAACGGAGGGTATTCTGTTTTGTTATTTATGAAGGTGTGTTTCTCGCCATAATGATAAAATTGTGATTAATTAATCCAGCCTTAGACCTTCCTGCTCCTCACGGTTATATAGTTAATGTTAGTAACGTCGGCTCAATAAGAGAAGAAGATGACCTCCTCCGTTTGGATAAGACACAGAAACAAAGATATCCTAAGTCAGTCTTTGTTTTAACACGAGTTGTCTAAGGTCATTATTAATCATTAAAACACAGTTGGACTTTATTTATTGTTTTTTTTAATAAATAATGATGATGTTGCTCTGAAGGCGGACTTTCACAGAATCATTGGGCCAAAGAAAAATCTTTAATTGTCACTGAAATGATAAACACGACCTTTCAATAATACATGTTTTCACCTAATTAATGAACTTTAGGTTGGATTCGAGTCGAGTGGCTGTGAATGTTTATGCTGTTTAAATCTCTAACCTAAGGTCATTGTCTGTCATTGTCTCGTGAACTAGTTTTTTAAATCTTGAAATGTGAAAAAAAACAACATTTTCTTTACATGTACAGATTGGACCTGAGCAGTATTTAGACTCATTATATGACTCCTCAGTGTTTAAGTTTATAATATACAGGTAAATATTAATATTAAGTATAGTCAGTACTGCGTGGCGTTCAGCACGTAGCTCCGTCTCCTGAATGAAGCTGTGGGGGATGGATGAGTCTGAGCCGCATTCTTTAGGACCGCCTCCATCTTTAATCATCATTAAAAGCAAAATAACAAACTAACTTCATAAATTACAGTGAACCGTTCAGTCATGCTGCCGGTGGGTTAGGGTTATCAGCGAGTGCAGTATCACTTGCTGCCTTCATGTACTCCTCGGAAATATTGTATTTACCATATTTGAGAGTTATTATAAGCACATTGAGTGGCATTTTTGAGTGGAGAAATACCCGAGTTGTGACTTTTGCGTGACGATTCAGAGCAGCCAAAAAAAAAGCGTAAAGCTTGGAAAATGTGTCAGCAATGGACGGAAGAATAAATACATTTATTTAGTTAGTTATTTTGTTAATTGCTCTCATTAATTTTTAGTCGTTAACCATTTAAGAACATACAACTATTAGATGTGGCAAGGGAGCAAACTTTTGACTATAAATCATGACAGGTGACGGATAGTTTTTTTTTTTTTGTTTGTTTGTTTTTTTAAACCAGAGCCACAGGCTGTAAATAGACCATAGCTCTTGAATGCATGCATGTAGTTATTACGGCTTGACAACTGGGACGTACGATGTTTCCACGGAGCACCTCAAGGCAGCAAGTGCCAGCTAACACCAGACTGATCTGAACACGGAGTTTTGGTTAAAGTTTCACTCCCTACCAAACATAAAACACAACACCGTAACACACATACCAGGCCCAAAATAAACACGTTTCAAACACGTTCAAAGAGATATAATTAGTTACTGAACGGAACCATAAACACGTGAGGATGCTCGGCCACAGCCCCTCTCAACACACAGCGTCATGTTTTATGTTTGTATTTTTCAACGTGAGATTATTATTATAGATTATTATAAATATAAATATCAGAGGACCGTTAATCAGAGGTTAACTTTTTAACGGTGAGGTAAACGTTACCGTAACACTCACAGGAGGAGGAGCTACCTACCCACGGATACATTGTCATAGAAAATATAAATAAATTAGTCTACTTACCTATATCATTTTCGTGTACAGATTCTGGGAAGCTTGCCATCTAAATAAAGACTACAGAGCTGAGAGAAAATAATCCGAGCACGTATTGAATTATAAAAGGAAATAAAAGAGCGGAGCCTGCTTCCTCTTCTACCACCGCTGATATCCCTCCGCCGAGCTGAACGTCCGATCCGTAAACTGATCTTTTCTTTAACTTCTTCGATTTCGGAATATATTTAACTTTGTTAATCTGTGATGAAGATGATCCGCTGTGTTTTTACGAATGTCTAACACGTTTGATGAAGCGGTTAATTGTTGCAGATAGAAGGACGACCGTGAAGATAATGGTTTCACACCGAGAGGGATCTGTTTTCTACTAAAGGAGGGCTGTGGCGTCACACAATGGGCGGGGGCTTGCTGAACGTCAGTACCGTTGTCATGGTGATACTATTAACACCGCCCACTTTTTTCTCCACACTTTTCGTGTGGAAAAAGCGCTTTACCGCCATCAGCTGAGTGAAAATAATGATTACAATTATAAAAATAATATTAATTTTGATGTTGCCTGTTGATATATCACCACTGTTGTTCAAGAAATTTGATAATATGATCAAAGATTTTCTTTGGGGTAAAAAAAGGCCAAGAATTAACATTAAGAAAATGTGGTCATCAAGGGACATAGGAGGTTTAGGCCTCCCCAATATAAGGCTATACAATCTAGCATTTGAAATGTCCAGATTGGGGGAACACTGCAGAGGAACGAACTCTGAGTTGTGCTGGATCAAAATAGCACAGGAGCTGGTCAGCCCTTTCACACCTTTGGACGTTCTCTCACATGGATCAAGGACTAGCGGACGTGATTATTCTTCAAACCCAGTGCTGGCTCATTCAAAATCAGTCTGGAAAGAAGTTCACGATATGTGGAGCATCACATTTAAGACAATCATATGCTTCTTTATGGTACAACCCGGACATACGGATTGGGAAAAGGTCTGTCTATTGGAATCAATGGCTTATGAAAGGGATTCACAAGATATACGTGACCTATATGTAGATGGAAGGTTTATGTCTTTTTCTGAACATCTGCAGAAATACGATTTGGAGTATAAAGGAAACTTTTGGAAATACTTACAAATCAGAGACGGTATCACTAAGGGCAAATTCACTCAGAATAAGAATCCTGTGATTGAATTTTTGGAGTTACCCTCTATGGCACACAGAGCAGCTGGGTTCTATAAACACTTTAATGGCTTACAAAAAGATACATGTAAAAGTTTGAGAATGATTTGGCAGAAAGACTTAGAATGCGAGTGGTCAAAAATCCTATCAAATACGGGGAGGTATATAAAGGAGGCTAGGGCGAAATTTACTCAATATAAAATAATACATAGGTTTATTTTACTCCTTCTAAACTCCATAGGATGGGCATACTGGCTAATAATTTATGTTGGACGTGTCAGATAGAACCAGGAACATTTTTACATGCACTCTGGGAATGCAAACTTGTAAACCCATTTTGGGACAAAGTCATGGAACACATAGGTAAAGGGTTGGGTACGACAATACCTAAATCACCAAGGATTTGCCTGTTAGGGGATCAAACTGAATTGAATTGAAGTATCGAACGTTGTGATAAACGTTGGGGTGTAACGGCCGCACGATTGATCCTTAGATTATGGAAAAGTACGTCACCCCACAATTCAAGCAATGGATGGAACTTATGTCAGAAACTGTCTCTTATGAACAAGTGTTAGCCAGAATCAATGATGAAGGTGAGAACTTCCAGAGGTTATGGGGCCACTTTTTTGCTTATACATGTAGTACTATTGGTGCATTGTAATGATAAAGATGTGGTACTGTGTATACTGTGGTTACTGAATTGTTATTTTGGTTCCAATTATGTACTCAGTTGTTATGGGACTTTGGGCATACTATTGTACAACAACAACAACGCTGTCTATTTTGTTTGTTCAATGTTAAGTTAAAATAAGAAGTTGAATTACAAAAAAATATGTATTAATTAATAATTATCATTAATACATTGCAAAAAATATTGGTTGAGTATATCATGAATATGTTACACACAATTACACTAATGTAGCATATGTTATTGTTTATATTTAATTTACTTTATTTGAAACATAAATAATGTTAGGCTATAATCTGGATGTATATATGTTTATAATTCTGTCTCTATATTTGTTAGTGTTTATTTACTGTATTTTTCTTCTGTTGCTTTATCTGCATTGATTACCTGCTCCTGTAACAACTATTTCTGTTTGGGATCAAAGTCTCTCTCTCTCTCTGTCTATCCCGGCTTTAGGGTTAGTAAACTTTTTTTATGTAAGTTTATTTATTTTGAATCACTTCCTGCCTGTCAAATTTTCATTTTACTCGCTGAGCTTCTTATTCTCAGAGACACTAAACCTAAAAACCAACAGCAAGTTTTTATTCGTCTTTTTCGTTGTTGCCGTTTGAAGAGTGAACTGTTGCTTTCGATCATTATTTGAACCATAAATAAAGATCTTAAAGGGAATTAATAAATCTGTTGATCAAACTGATTAACTCAAAACTTTTTTCATCTATTTAAACATTTTTCTCAAATTTCAGCCGCCTGTCAACCATAGACTGTCGACACTTCTGGGATCACTTAAAGTTTCCTCGCACTCTTAAATAAACAGACTTCATATGTAACATGAAGGTGTCTGAGTCAATCTCATAAATTATGTATTTTCTTTTTAAATATTAAAAATAATAATAATAAAAAACGCCGGGTTGCGTTCTGTCGCTGGTCGCCATGACTACATTCCTCCCTTGTCTCTCATGATTATATTGTAGTCACACACAACTTCTGCCGGACCTTTTCAAGATTTAAAATTCTAAATATTAAACTTGTTTGAAATAAATCGGGGAGTCCCCGGGCAGATCGGGGACGTTAAGATTGGATCTTTGTACCACTCACACTACAAGATAATGTGAACAGATAATCAGGTCCGAGCAGCCTTGAGTTGGGAGAAACCCTGCGATTGTCGTGAAGGAAGAATCGAAGCTCAAATCGGCCCGATTATCCTGCAGTGTGAGCCAGGCTTTAATCTTTAAAATCTGCATCGTTACGAGAATGACCTGGATTTAAAAATAATCAGACATCTTCAACGAGCTTAAAACACAAATGAAAGAAGAAAGATTCTGTTAAGTGATAAAAAACACTTTATTGACAAAAGGAGAAGTGAACTCATCTAACCGTCTTTCGGTTTGTTTTCTCTCGTTGTTGTTCACTCAGGCTACAGCAGACTCTACTACATCTGGACTCCATGCTAGTTTCACATCGACACAAACAGGAAGAGCGCTACAAAGGGTCCATGAAAAAACCTTGCTTTTCTTTTTTTTAACGTCTTCACTTTCATCCAATCAGATCGATTCTTCGCCTGGCGAATCGTGTCCAATCGGAGGCTACTTAATCCTCACACAAAGACACATCCATGGTTCATGTGGAAAGGTTGATGGCGTTAACAGTACGGCGTGATGAGCTGAGATATGGCGATGTAGATTGAGCGATATTTATGACTTCCAGAACGTTCTGCACAAACTTGTCAAAGTTTGAACAGACGTTTGGCGAGCTGGCAGATTATCAGCAGAGTGAGAAGTGACGCTGTGAAGGAAGCGTTACAGAGCAGCTGATTCACACAAGTTTGGTTTGTAAGGCCAGGTGAGGGGAACACCTTACAAACATTACAGCATGTGGTGCTTTTATTTTGAAGGTGGACAAATTGAAGTGTGGTGCTCTTATTTTAAAGAGCCCATATTAAGCCCTTTTTGGGGTTCATATATTTAATCTATGTTCCTACTTTTGTACGTTCACAATAGCTAAAGTCCGAAAAAAGTGTCTGTTTTCATGTACTGCTCCTCCTTGCTCCCTCTACGCTCTGAGTCCGTCAGCTATGGCGGCTGAGCCCCCACTGCAGAGCCCCACGTGGTCCAAGTCTGCTCTGATTGGTCTGCTGATGCGCCCTGTCGTTATTGGTCAGTTGCTCAGCACGCGTCTCGGAAATTTCAACATGAGCTGCAGGGCTTGAGACAACAAGCCAATGGGCTTAGATCAGTGATCTCACACTGACAATGACGTCGGACTGACAAATCTTTATTGAGGGGGGCTAGAACCGAGCGTTACATGCGGCTAACGCTACAGCTAACAGGAGGATGTAGGAGAAGCCGCGTTTCCGCGGACTTTGAATTTTTGCACATAGATGTGCCTAAAGATGCACAGGACACTTGGAAAACACACTAAAGAGCATATAAAACCAGAAAAAGCGTAATATGGGACCTTTAAAAGGTGGACAAATTAAAGTGTTGTGCTTTTATTGTGAAGGTGGACAAATTAAAGTGTTGTGCTTTTATTGTAAAGGTGGGCAAATGGAACTGTGGTGCTTTTATTTTGAAGGGGACAAACTACAGTGGTGCTTTTATTTTGAAGGTGGCGAAACTGAAGTGTGGTGCTTTGTGTTGATGAGCTGTTGACTCAAATCTCAACACTCAGAGGCTCATCAATAAATGGGTTGCCGTGAGCTGAATAAAGCTTTTCTCTGGTGTTGACACAGGTCAAAGGTCAACATTTCATCATGATGTGGAATTTATAAATGCTCCTCTATCTTCACTTTGTACAACAAGCTAACAAGCTCTGCTGAGGGAGGAGAGAGAGTGTCAGCACCGTGTAGAGAGTACTCCCCCGTTCCTCGTCCGTCTACGGGCGACAGAGCTGTTAAGACACTCAAATCAAGCCGATTGACACTGACCCTCGCTCACTGTTAGGACACGCTGTTCTACTGCGTCTTTTTTGTTGGACTACAATTATGAAGGCTGCGTTGGAAAATCTATATGAAGGTTTAAAGTTTAACCTTTGACCTTTTCATCCGTTTGTGTAAAAAATTAAAAATATTCCTGCAACATATTTACACAAGATCTGACGTGGTGGAGTCACTGTTTAATCATATGGCGCACTCTGGTGGAGTCTCTACCCGTGTTCTGCTTCGTCTCCTCCTGTCCAGACAAACCAAACGATCGTGGAATCATCGCTCCTGTAAACGTGATCAGCTGGTTATCATTTGTGTGCAGCCACGACTTTAACGGCCACAGAGTTCGGACACATTAGAAGAAATTCAGTTACACAACCCCCGACGCTGAAAAAGACAAAAATATTAGAGTCGGGTTTTAAGAAAACATGGTATAAAAGCTCTACATGGTTTAGTGTATATAAAGGGGCGTGTGCACTGGGAGCTGCCCAGCCTGAGGGAGCCAATCAGAGCCTCACAATCTGCTACTGAGAGGGTCACCAGGTTCCCCACTACCCTAGGGCTCCTGCCCGTCTAAAGGAAGCCGTTATAAGAAAGAGTGTTCAGGACTAAAGCATTTACAGGTACATATGAACAGAGTTATCATACAGAGGTTATACATTTACAGTACTGGAAACAGTCCTCTCCCAGGGAGGGGGAGGGGAGCCCACCACGGCTGCTCTCACTCAGGGGAAAGAGAGGGAGGGGACAGGATGAGCTGCAAGGCCGCCGCCCATAGGTCATGCTGCCATCGCCATGGTGACCCTGATATGGTTAAGCCCGGGAGGATCTGAAATTCAGAAGAGAGACGGTGTGATCGGGGGGCGTTTGATACTCACACATTTTTATTTTTCAGACGAAGAAGTCAGCGCAAGTCTGACAGGAGGTGCACGTTTACTTTAAAGAGTGTCGACAAGAACAGGACACCCTGAGGGGCGCCCATTGGTGTCTTTCTGATTCCTCAGTCTGCCATCTTGTTTCACAGGAGCCAGAAGTAACCATATTTGGACCAGAGAGTGGCGCTTAAGAGGAGGAACCCTAACCTGCAGGAATGTTCAGTCTATCAGCTTCACCGACTTCCTTTGATGTACCGTCATTACTCAGTACGGTTCTTGACAGACAGTTCAGACGGGCTGAAGTCTCCTGTTCTCACTGCTGATTGGACAGGATGAAGATGATGTAAGAGGAAGTTATAAGACAATTTAGGGAACTAAGAGCGGGCGGTGGAAATGTTCTGATGTGTCCTGATGTGTCCTGATGTCCTACCTTTGTTCTGTTGACCTTTAATAACCTTCACTTATATATTCTGCAGCCCGACGTTCAGAGTCTGAGTCAGAACTTCACACAAAGTGAGGTCACAAAGACTTTAGGTACAGAGGTCTACTTCAGTTACTTTATCAGACCAACACGTTCCGGCTTGTGGCCTTCATCGAGACTCTCAGGGTGAGCTCATGTGAAGGGTTTTCCTGGAACTAATGCTCGTCGGCGGTGTGATTACCAAGCTAGTTACATGGACAGCGGTTTCACAACACTCTGATTGTTTGTATTCAGGAAAACCATGACGACTGAACCCGAGCATGTTATGTTGGAGCTGATAATTTAAACATTCTAACGTTCCTCCTTCTGCAGAATTTTGAAAACGGGGGTGATACCAGAAATGTTGCGAATCACAGGGCTCGGACACGGCGTCCCTTCGATAGTTATATTTATAGGAGGTGCATGTCAGGCTGCGTACGTACAGGGCTATGAGAACCTACGATGCAGAAGTTTAACTCTGACTTGCGTCAAACTTGACTCCTGAAACAGAGAGATGTGAACTCTGAACTCAGGAAGATTTCAGGGGCAGAGCGTCACACTGGTGTGAAAACAGAGAAGACATATGACATCGCCCTGAGGACTATCTTACCATGATAAGGACTCGTTACGTTCTTCGTTCTCTCCCTGAGTGTTAGCTCTTCTTGGCCGACCGTCTTCTTCTGACAAAACATGAAATCATTGGTTAGGATGAACAAAACTCACTCAGCTTTGTTTGCATGCACATCCATGTTTCATGGCATGTCTGTTGTTGCCATGGTGATTTCAAAACCTTCACAAGTTCCAACGTGTAACTTTCTCTTACCACAGGGGTTTCCCTCCACATCATCCAGGAGGTTGGCTGTAGAGTTGGCTGTACCCAATCTGAGAAAGAGTTCTGTTAAGAACTGAAACGTTTGTGTCAGAGGTCAAGGAGGTAGGTCACAGTAGGAGGTCACAGAGGGAGGTCACAGAGGGAGGTCAAGGAGGTAGGTCACAGAGGGAGGTCAAGAGGTAGGTCACAGAGGGAGGTCAAGAGGTAGGTCACAGAGGGAGGTCAAGAGGTAGGTCACAGAGGGAGGAGGTCACAGAGGAGGTCACAGAGTCACAGAGGTAGGTCACAGAGGGAGGTCAAGGAGGTAGGTCACAGAGGTAGGTCAGAGGTAGGTCACAGAGGTAGGTCACAGAGGGAGGTCACAGAGGTAGGTCACAGAGGGAGGTCAAGGAGGTAGGTCACAGAGGGAGGTCAAGGAGGTAGGTCACAGAGGGAGACCACAGAGGTAGGTCACAGAGGTAGGTCACAGAAGGAGGTCACAAAGGGAAGTCAAATGTCACAGAAGAGACATTTATACCTGATGACAAGTTTTTTTTTTTTAAATCTGCTTCAACACAGCAGTAACTCAAAGCTGAGCTGTTAATAGAAGTTTTACAGATTCGAAAAGAAATCATCCTGAACGTGTCCACATGAATCATTTCCTTCCCGTTCTCTTCTTTACCGACTTACACACACCCATGTTTGTCAGATAACGTCAAGCAAAGGATACGAGTGGTGCTTCAGGAGCATCTTCCGTTTGGACTTTCTCCTCTTCGTCTTCTCCGAGAACGTTCTGGCGATTTCAAACAGCTTCTTCCTGGTAGCTGAAGGCAAGAGAACATTTTCACTACGTCAGTCAGTGTTTAATTCTGATATTTCTAGACGAGGGGACATTTATTTTAAATTGGTGCAAACATGTTTATGAGTGTCTCCAGTAGATGAGTTCATCCTGCAGCAGGTAGACTGCACACCACCTCTACGATCTCTGTGCTCTAATGAACCTGCTGCATTATGTTTCCTGTTCTCCAGTATGTTCTTCTCCACTCTTTAGTTCAGATTGAGATTCTGTTCAACTACACGTAGCATTGATAGAAGGACACATATTCTCATTATAGCGTCCTATGGAGGACTCTGCTACTTAGTACGCCACTTCCACGTCGTTCTTTTTACGTCACGTCTTACCTCAGACATTACAGCCTGTTTACCTGCTGCAGGATGAACTCATCCACTGGACACATATTAAAGTCATTTGACCCGACATATAACAAGAAAGCGTGGAGGGTCATGGCCCTCACAGCTGATGCAGGGATGTAGAAATGAGCAGACTTACATTTGCCCATGTGTTTGAGTTTGTCCCTGAACATGGCGTCGTCGGAGACGGCCTCCATTGCAGCTGCAGAGTACTGTTCTCCTGCACACAGACACAGCAGCACTAGCACGATGCACACTTACAGTACATGAGAACACACAAAGCACCTGTGCAGGTATTTATAGTGTGTGAGCTGAGCAGAGGAAGCTTGATGAGTGATATCTACCTGAGGAACTCTCCATGCTAGATGAATGATTGGACTTTGATTTCTTTGACTCATACTTCAAGCGATCTAAAAACAGAGAGCAGATGTTATGAACACTGATGACATGATGACATCAAATATAAAAATCACCGCAAGCTTCAACTGAGCTGGGATTTAGAAAAACAATGGAAGCACTCGATCATAAGCTGAGGGATGTATGCCACAATTTCCACATAGTCCGTGCAGGTTGCGTTCTTTCAGCTCCACGGGTTCGCTCCGTCCGACGGTGTGTGCCCAGCCCCACTGGGTCAGTTTCTGGAGTGTGACTGCAGCCATGAGCAGCTGTACACACATTTGTTGTTCATTCAGTGCCTGTTTCGACATCATGTTGATAAAGTGATGGAATATACGATCAGGAGTCTGTATGTTGCGTTTTATTTTGAAATTAACCAGACGCTCTGAGCGTTTCCTTGTCTGACAATTTACTCTGTCCAGCTTGATGCGAGCTTGCAGCGAGCTCCGTCAAAAATAGACGAAGTGTTTTTAAAACAGAGTGGAGTGGCACTGCTGGCATGCTCCTGAGGCGGACCGCGGTGCTCGCTGTGGAAACAGGAGCATTGACTAGAGAGGGAGTGAATGGCGCTGATGGATAGCGGTGCGTACAGACTTAGTGGAAATTGCGGGTTAGACTTTAGAAAATGGAGACAAGAGGAAATAATTCTGTCCAAGTCAAGCAGAACAAAGATGCACGATAAATGTATTTAATTAATTTAACTATGTTATCCTTTTTTTGGAGTCACCACAGGAGTCAGCCTCTAGTGGACACAAGAATAACTGCAGCTTTGGTCATTGTGGCCCCTCAGGTTTTTGCTGTGTCCACCATGTTGCGTAACATTTGGATGAATCATTACACCAAACACAGCTGGAATACATTTGGATTCTGCTTTCGAACATTTGAGATCGTCGACTCTTTTGTGTTCGTAGCTTTGGGTTGCTTATTTTTACTGTTTGGTTTAAAATCACATTTAAGATTCATGACTTGGACTGAAGTCATTCCAAAGAGACAAGCAAAGGACTTGAGCATCAAGGCAGATTATGATAATAAAAAGGTAGGCTGAGGAGTTTTCTATGGTGGCCACAGTTTATGAAGACTAATGCCCCGTCTGTTTCTTTAAGGTCGTGTTTAAATATTTTCACCATCACAAAGTGATTCTCTGAAACTCCACAGGGAACCTTTTACTCATCAGGAGCTCAATAATTATGGTTTAGTGTAGAACCTATGAAATACCAAACAGAGTTCAGCTGTCGACTCAAAGAGCAGCAGGTCTCTTTGTAGAATCGTGCACACAGTCGTACCTCGCTCCAAGGCAACGAGGAACTCGCGGTTGCGTTGCAGCTCTCTCATAAACTCCTCGTTCTGGAGAAACAGTGCGATCCGCTCGTCTTCTAAATACTGCTTCAGCTTCTTGTCTTGTTCTGTTGCTCCTGAGTTCAGACCTGAACCTCCTGTGGTCCCTGCAGCTCCAGACAGTGACCCAGAGCCGGCTGTCCATTGGCTTACTGAAGACACTGAAGAGGAGGAGGATGATGAAGGCTGAGAGAGGCTACTCTGAGAGCTCTGTGGAGGGAACAAGAGTTTAAGGTCAATACATGAGGTTTGATCAAATATCTACATCTGCGTGCTCCACGTCTCCATCATCTACTGCAGCATGGTGCTTCACACTCCCAACATGTTGAAGAATATTTCTTTCCTTAGACGATAAGATCGTCAACATGGTCAGCTAGCCAAGCTCTTTCTAAAGTGACTAAATCCCTCTAACAGCACCCACACAAATCCCCCAACTTAAGTCTAACTGGTTTCTCTAACACATGGAGACCAGAGAAGACCAATCAAAACCAATGGAGACAAGAGGAGACCAATGTAAACCAATCATACTGCCTGAAAAAAAAAAAGACAGTAACATGTTCTCAATTTCACAGCGCTATCCTCTTCTACCGGTGTTTTGTCAGTATTTTTTTTTTTTTAAACGTCCAGCTAATAACTGCTACAGCATCAATGTATCTTAAGCGCTCGTGCGCATGCATGTGTGTCACAGTTGAAAGGCAGCCAACAGCTTCACTGCTGTCCCTCCCGGGAGCGTGCTCGCTACTCTCGAGTTGTACACTCGCACACAGATTTTAGCGCAGGTTTTCTCTGATAAAAAGTTCTCAACCCCTGCTAATCATGTTAAAATAGAAAAAAACAACAAATTAAATATTATTAACTCACCTTAATACTGTCGAGCTGTTGGGGCAGGATCCTCAGGAAATCATCTGGGAGGTTTCCAAGCAAAGGAGGGTTCCAGTTCCTGTAGCTTCTGACCTGCTGGTGACCTGAAGGAGGTTCAGCTTCAAATCTGAGAGAGGACCAGGGGTTAGGGTTAGGGTTAGGGTCACAGGAAACAACCAGACTGCATTAGGTCCATTATATTAGAGGTACATAAACAGCACACATGTTTCCCTAATGTCTGATGATACAGTAAGGTCACTTCATCAGTTCAGTCACTACACATCTCACTGATTGGACCTTTAAACAAAACAGTGATTTTGAGGTGAATTGAAAATCTCTCAGGGAGCAGACTTCTCCATAAAAAACCCCATCTCTGTTTCTGCACCTTACCTGGGTGGGGGTGTGGGCGGGGCTTCTGGGTACTTCCTGTCATAAATGTGCATGTCATACGTTGGCGGAGAGTAGACGGGCGGCGGTTCCTCGTCTGAACTGTCAGGTTCCAGTGTCCGATCCAGAATCTGAAATCAAACAGAGAAACACAGTTTGGTTTCTAAGGACCCAAACTCATATAGGCTCCTTTGATCTGCTTTTATTTTGGTATAAAGCCTGATAACTTCCTGTCACTGTAGATGTTTGAATAGAAGATTACACCGCACAGACAAACATCATTGTTATAAAAAAAAGGGGGGTGAAACTCCAGCCCCTCAGGTCTACATTACTACTCCCAGTTGTTTGGGAGCTCTTGGACCTGCCCTCTGACCTCTGCTGGAATGCTGTCATCCGAGTCAGAGCTGTCATCGGAGCCCTGTCCATCGATGCTCATCTGCAGCAGCTGGTCAATGGTGGCGTCCACGGCTCCGTTGTTGGAGCGCAGCACACACTCGATGACCTCGTAGTCCATGGTGGGGAACATGGTCTTGAAGTCCTCCATGGCCTGGTTGAACTCCAGGCGTCGGACCTGCCTATTGGACCGACTGTTGTTGAGCTGCCCCTGCCCTCCGCCGCCGCCACCTCTGGAGCCGCCATTGCTGCTGCTGCGCCTAAACAGGCTGGTCATCCTCTGGGCCGGGCTGCCTCCTGATTGGACGGCTCTTCTTCTCTGTAACCAACACAAGCGCTGCGGCCCCCGTCACTCTCTCTTCTGTTCGCCGTCTCCTGCTCACTTTCTCATTCTAACACAAACATGGCAGGTAGTCGATGGGAGCTCAGAACAGCTGGAGACCCGCCCCCTCCACAGCTACTTGTTATTCAGGTGCATCCAACATGGCTGACGGTGTTTCAGGGTGTGTTTCAGGGTTCTGTCAACAGGTACAAGTTAGAGTCCACCAGGGAGAGTTCATGGCTACGTCAGCGTCATCAGCACCTGCAGCGAGAAGACGGACAGAGTGTCTAAAATCAGAAATCTGCCTAACAACCAGACCTGAACCAAATAAGGATCTCAAATGTGAGGCAAATAGTTAACAGAGGCTTCATGTGATTGGCCAAATGGTGAGACTGCATGATTAGGTTCAGGTTGTAACAGGGTGGTGCATGTGAAAAAGGCTGGAGCATCCTGGGACATATGGTGAACTGAATAGTGAAAGTGAAGACCTGCAGATGCTGGCTGTAGCTGCTCTTAATTAATCCCTGCCTCTATTTTCCTTACTGCCTCACAGGAGGGGGGGGGGGGGGTGGTGGTGGAGGGGGGATGATTGTAGCTGGCAGCCGCCCAGTGCCACATGGCGGTGCCAGGCCCCGTCCACAGCCTATACAGACATCCTCTCTCTCATCAAGAGTCTGCCTTTGATGTAAACAAGATGTCTGCTCTGATAGTGTGGCCCTTGTGTCACACTGAAGCCGAGTGTGTGCGAGGGACAAAGAACGGCCCTGACAGACCTACTGAGTGAGATACAAACCGAGACATTATTATTATTACCGGATCAGACATGCACATGAGACTGACGCTTCTGATCTGTTTCCTGTTTTAAGGACTCCAGATACACACCAGATGTTTCTGCATAGACTTCTATATTTACAGCTGATCCAGTTAACAGTCAGAGATCTTTAATGCTGAACAACATATTTGATAAGAGGAATTTAAAAGGCTCCCTTCCTCCTCAAAGCATGTCAGATGGCGTTGACTGTATAAAACATGGACGTAGTTTCAGTGACGTCATCCATTGGTTTCTGAAGAGGTGTTTTGACATATTGACTCAACCTGACTGAAGATCAATCTAGAAACAGAGATGGAGCTGTGGCCTTACACCTTCTTGAAAATAGCTACAACACGCCCACCCATAAGTCAAATCAGCCACGCCCATAATTAAGCAAATGCATAGTTATTTTCCTTTAAGCAGCAATATGTTCCTCTGACATCTAGTGTTTAAAATGGGTACTGCAGTCCAAATTAAAACATTTTAGAGAGCTGCCTCCCCCCGTCCCCTCCTCTCTAGAGTCCATGCTCACGCAGGTTGCCATGTGGTGGACACTGAAGCTTCAGTGTTTATCCAGCTCTGCATCGGTCTGTAAACCTTTCTGTGTTCTAACCTCTCTCCATTTTTCAAAATCATCTCCAACATTGATCCTAGTTTGAGCACGTTTCTGCTCGTGGAGCTTATTAGAAACATGCAGAGGCTTTTTAGGTCGGGTACAATCACATGTATATATTTTTTTAATATCCTTTATTAATCCCGAGGGAAATTCGGTGTACACTCTTATTTTATAGAGACATGCTTCTCACACACACAGGTCCGAATCACACGCATGCACAAACAGGACCTGTGGACATGCATTGATGGAGAGATGTCAGAGTGGGGCTGCTACAAGCTGCTAAGCAGAGAGCGCACCAGAGCTGCTGGGGGCTAGGTGCCTTGCTCAAGGGCACCTCGGCAGTGCTCAGGAAGTGCCCTGGCACCTCTCCAGCTACCAGACCAACTTCCAGATTTGGTACGCACCAGGACTAGAACTGGCGACCCTCAGGTTCCCAACCCACGTCCCTGCAGACTGAGTTACTGCCGCCCCCACTTCTATCTAAAACAGTTCTCTTGCCCGCTTCCATCGCTGCAACACCTGTTGGTTTGACCTGATAACTGCTCTCATGTCTGGCAAACCAAGGGGGTCCAAAACGGCCCTGTGGGGGTGTCTTAAAACCGCCTACCTTCTCTGGTCCAAGCAAATCCAGAGCATTCAGGACCAGAATCTAAAGTTAGAAGGAGGACATACTGGCTGCTGCATTGTTGTCAGAGAAGCCAGCACTTCAACATAGCATGTTTCCTTAATGTCTGATCATAGAGTAAGATCACTTTATCATTTCACTCACTACACATCTCACTGATTAGTTTAGAATAAATGAGTTGCAGAGACCAGGCTGTAAACATGATTCTGCTCTATAAATAAACATGTTAATATGAGCTCTAATGCAAACAGCCTCTAGTGGATACTCAATAAACTGCAGGCTTTTGCACTTCCACTTGGCTTCATGTTTAACCCTGGAGGTTTCAGCTTGAGTAATGCTGACCGGAGAATTAAAGCAAAACAAAGACCGTGTTTTAGCTGCATTACATTTTAACTGAATAAAGTAGAATGAGACTATGAAGTGTTTTCAGTTATGTATTGGAACATATAACACACATTTTAAGTATACCTTTGTCCACTTTTCTAGAGTTTGTAAAACCTTTAAAATCTCACTTGTAGTAAAACGAGCTGGAGATGCTTTGAGCCTGAACCACAGAATATAAGGGTACCAGAGTAAACGTCATACCACGCAAACGTTGTACTCTTACAAACATATCCTCCCAACATCATCATATTTATTCTGCACCTGACAACCAGGCTAAATTTAGCACACAATCCAGGACTGTGGCTCCTCAAAGAGTCTGTATCAGCATACAGGAAGGGGCCGATAGCCAGCTGAAGATATTCAAATAAAGATGGGATTTGTCCGTACTGATTGGCTGCGCTGGTTTTAAACCAGTAAAGTCTGCAAGCTGGTCTGATGACGCACCACATGAGCCTTCAACGACATAACATTGAACATTTCATTCATCTTTAGATCGAGAACCATGGTTTATGTTCCTGTAGGAGACACAAGTTCCTCTCATCAACCTTGTTTGCAGAACAACATGGTTTATTCACAATATCGGGGAAAAGAACTACACTACCCACGACCATAAAGTGTCACAGTGCAGCTCTGATTTGTGGATGCTGTTACCATGGCAATGTTTCCAACCCCTTAATAATAATAATACATTTTCGCTTTTTTTTCTAAATACTCAGAGACGCTTGGAGTAAAACGCGAACAGATAGACACACACAACACAAACTACAAGATATTACAACACATGTATTAACAACATGATAACGACTTAGGTTACATTTATGAAGAAGAGGAATCATTCGCAATGGATTGTGGGATGTGTAGTTTCTTGACTCCAGAAGAAAAATAGGTACACAGTCTTCAACCTTTGCCTTCTTCGTTTTTCAAAGCAGTTCAAATAAAATGTTTTATAGTCACGAGTATTGGGGTAGCTGGTTGTCATGGTGACAGGCTTCGATCTCCTGATATAACTTACTTGTCTGTGCTGCTGCAACGCCCGAATTTCCCCTCTGGGGATCAATAAAGTACTATCCTATAAGGAGTTAGTGAATTATCAACGGAGGACAACAGGAAAGTTTACTTCAGGAACTAGAGCTGCTGACAAAGTGGGTGGTCCCTGTTGAACTCTATTAGGAGCTTAGTCAAATTTTAATGAGTGAATTGACCCCCTTCAGCCAATCAGACTCGAGTATTCAGACTCAGAAAATATAGGACAGAATTCAGACTGCAGTTCACCAAACAGCCACCAGGGGAAAACAACACATAACACCCAAAAGGTCATTGTTACCTGTGTTATTTATTGTAACATTTTCCTCAGAGGCTCATCTCCTCTGTTAAAGTCTGATTCTATCACAACACCAGTCATTCCTATTTAAATATATTCAGATATTCACACACAGGTCCCAGAACAGATTATTTAAAGAGTAACTGAGGCCATAAAAGACGATCTAACTTTAAATAGTTAGTCCCAGAAGAGCCGGATATATGCCGAATTAAAGAGTGGAGAATAAGAGATCTTTAAATATCAAAAGGTATTCATTATTACATTGAGTTCTCGACTAATTGAAGATTTTATTTTTCTTTAAAAGAGGTTCTGCGCATGTGCCGTAATCGGGTCGCTGCTAGCAAGCTGGCTAACGGTTTTCTTCAGCAGTCAATACTGCTCTAAATATCATGTTTGGTGACCCAAACAGTTAACTTAAAATAATAATGATACGGTGACTTTGTGTAATAAACGAAGATATGAACACGACAGCCATCTTAAATTAAACTATCTAAATGTTAGCTCGCTGAAGAAGAATCAGTGTCAGGCAGATTTACAGGCCGCAGTCTCTGACCCTCTGCTCACAGACACAAACACACACCGACCACAGCTCGGTTTATTATTTAATAAAAACACTAAAGTCAAGAATATGAGTGGTTTTTTAAATCTAATTTCAGCATGTTAATGAAGAGCGACGCTTTCTCTGTGTCAGCTCTGCTGTTTACAATCAGCAGAGAGGAAATAAACGAGGATAAATATCGAAGATTACAGCAGATTAATGTGTGTTTTTATTAAAAAGGCGGAAAATGTTCACGTTAATCACGTTACTCACTTTACTCGCCGATAGACACGGACAGGAAACAACAACACGGAGCTGAAGAGTAGATGTAGAGAGCAGCTGTGCAGCAGAGAGGAGCCTTTTATCATTGTAATGTGAAACAGAAGGATACTGTCCGACAGCAGACTGTCTGCCGTAAACACAAACGGCCTGTCGTAAAACAGAGCGAGGACACAACAAACACCCCCCCCCACGCCGGCCGACCACACACACACACACACACACACACACACACACACACACACACACACACACACACACACGCACGCACAACTGCCTTGGCCGGGTCTCCCTTAAAAAAGAGGTTCTTAATCTCAATGGGACCGACCTGGTTAAATAAAATCACTTAAGTTAATAACTGCTGTGGCTGGAAAGAGAAAAACACATTTACAAAGTGTGAAATAGGCTACTTTTACATTTTGTAAAATATTTTAATATTTATTTGTCTTGTCATGGGCTGCAGCCTGCACAGTGCTGCAGTGGTTTGTGCTGTCCCCTCACAGCGAGGAGGTTCCTGGTTTGAATCCCTGTCTTACAGGAGCCTCTCTGTGTAGTTTGCATGTTCTCCCTGTGCATGTGTGGGTTCTCTCTGGGTACTCCGGCTTCCTCCCACAGTCACACAGACATGCTCGTTAGGTCAACTGGTGTTAACTGGAGTGTGGCTGGTTGTCTGTCTCTATGTCAGCCCTGTGATTAGCTGGTGAACAGGGTGTAACCCCGCCTGTCACCCAATGACAGCTGAATAGAAAAGCAGTATAGATAACAGATGGTTTTGTCAAATCATACCAATCATGTAAAAAAAAAAACATAATGCATCGCTTCTACAACTGTGTACATTTTAAGTCTGTAAATCTGTTCTCATGATTTTTGTATAAAGTGTTCATTTCGTTAGTTGTGATTGGATCTCAGTGATGTCATGAGGAAGTGATGAGACAACATGTTGACGCCAGAAGACATAGAAGAAGAGAGTAACCACAAAACACTTTGAATAACTTTTATTCTTTTCTCCTAACAGATCTGTACAATCAACTGAAGAGGAGCCTAGCAAAAACCTGTACATGTTAAAAGCTTCTGGGCACAAGAACTTCACACCCTTCAAAAATAATGCAAAGGTCGACTCGTCGTCTAACTATGCAAACACGTAGAGACCAGCCGCACGCCGTGAGTGAGTGACGGAGGGCGAGGGCGAGGAGGAGGACCAGAACAAAACAAACAGAAACCAAACACGATCATGTTCCCTTTATATCTCTTTCTGTCCAGTGTTATAGAAAATTACAGTCAGACATCTTATTTACAGACAAACCAACATCTGGAGTTTGATCGGGGTGGGGGGAGGGACCAGGTGAACACACGCTGACCGTAGACAATATGGCTACTGCTCCCAGTCAGCACCACCATGTGGACGACCTGTGCTGAGTTCATTCAAGTCTAAATCCGTGAAGGTCAATGACCCGTTTATCTCCATCAGCTGCACCCTCACGTTGAAATGCGTGAAATAAAAAAATGACGGCTCTTCGGTCAAGTTCTAACAAAAAGCTGCTCTGAGTGAAAGAGAGGCGGAGCCATCTGAGGGCGCGGAGGCAATCTGTAGCGATCACCTTTGACCCTCAAAGTCCATCTGACCAGTGAGTCATGCACAGCTACGTAACATGGAACTGACCTAGAGACAAATCCTACCGACGCCACGCTCCTCTCGACAATCATTTTAAACGATGAAGGGTTCAGAAATCGAGGCTTTACTTGATGTTTGGTTTGGACGTTTGACTATTGCTCACACATGAACCACATGGCGTTTGTTCAGGCTGACGGAGAAAGACAAGACGTCTTTGTGACGCTCGATCGACATAAAATCAAAGAGAGATTGAGACGAGTCGAGTTTCTTCAGCAACGAGGACAAACTAATCAAATGAACCGCCCACTGATTTTAAATGTCATCCCTTTTGATATTATTACAGAGTTCATGTTCTAATTAATCCGGGCCACCAGCGACCCCAACCATGACCCCACAGCGAGCAAGACCAAGTTGAACTGGTTTCCTGGTTTAGGCCTCAAACCCAGAATGACTTCACGTTTCTCAGATTTAAGGCCTCAGAGCCAAACTAACTTAAAACCAGAATGAGGACTAAAACGATCACGACAGACGGAGCTAAAACAGTAATAAAGTCGTAATCCGGAGTTCAAGTTCGTACGTAGTTTAAGCGGATAAATCCACCCCGGCGACATAAATGAATCGCTTTTTAAGCGTTACACCATGTTTTTAACCCCTTAGATACCATCAGATAGACAGCTCATGTTAGCATGCCATCAGATAGACAGCTCATGTTAGCATGCTATCAGACAGACAGCTCATGTTAGCATGCTATCAGACAGACAGCTCATGTTAGCATGCTATCAGATAGACAGCTCATGTTAGCATGCTATCAGATAGACAGCTCATGTTAGCATGCTATCAGACAGACAGCTCATGTTAGCATTCTACCACTTCCTGCTCTTAGATGAATAGAAAAGGAAAGATGCACTTTTAAGCTAATGATATCAGCTAGCTAACTTTGTTTTAGTTACCGAAAGCTAATATTTATTCCAGCTGACAAAACACTTTGCTAGCTGACATCATTAGCTGTGAACTAGCCCTTTCCCATTGACTGGTGGGGTTAGTATTAAGCCACTCCTTGCAGGTTAGCTTAGTTGTAGCAGAATGCTAACATTTGCTTTTTTACCAAAGTTGCTAATGGGTTACAGAGATGATGTTTTAACTTTAAATAAATATATAGTGTCAGTTTCTTCTTTATTGCTCATAAATCAAGAAGTGGTGAGTTTATTATGCCTCAGGTTGTTTTTAGTTTATCAGCCGCTCGACATTACATTCAGCTTTTCAATCAGGGCGTCGCTTCAGAGGAAACTGACCTCCGTGTGGCGATAATGTGACAATGTGGAAGAAGTTCAATATGAGATCAAGTGCTCTATTCTAAACTTCACCTGTGACGTGTTTTGGTGCGTTCAATTTGATCTCAGAAGTCAGAAATATCAAGTTGCTGGTCTGATACGTCATCACTAACACCTCCGGAAGTCGAAACTCGAAAACTTCAGTAGTCTGAGTGAAAATCCAACATGGCTGCTTTGAGCATCCACAGTACAGTTGAAGCTGCACATTGAAGTGTTCATTAGAAATTTAGTTTTGTTTTAGTGTCATTAAATCCATCACAGCGTCAGTACTCTCTCAAACCGTCACGTAGCATGTCGTTAGCTTTAAGCTAACAAACGTTCTCTTGGAGGCGTCCATGTTACTAACCAGTTAGTGGAACTCCATTAACTCAGTCGTGACGTCATCACCAGCTCTGACTTACGAGGTTAATGGAGCGCATCATTTGTCCTTATATGGGGCGTGTCCAGACTTTCATGGCTGGGGGGCCCAGCTGGGGTCCTGACTTATTCGGGCGGGGGGGGCCTGAAGTTTGTTCACAAACAAACGAATGAATAGCATTTCCTGTCTGATATCTGAACGTCCAGAGTGACTAACGTTTCGCTTAACTTATTTTTTTTTAGTAACTCAAAAAGATGATGTGCTTTTGGTCTAAATTTACAACTCAAAGCAGTAAATAACTGCAACTATCCAAAAGTCAAAAAGACATTCTTTAGCCATTTAAAGAACAGGAAGGTTTAGAATACATTTGTTTTTCCTGCTGGAGTTTGCTCGCAGTTCTTCATGGCAATTAGATTTCAAAGGAGGCCCGTCTCTGGACACGCCCCTGGTCCTCATGTTAGGACACCTCATCTCCTGATTTTAACACGTTTAATCAACAGAATCATTAATGATTGTAAATCAGTGCACACATCGTGTCTCCACTTTCAGCTGTTTAAACCGTCAGCAGCAGAAATACTCGCCACGTTCACCACACTAGACCTTTTCCATGTCTTTATGTTTGAACGATGAATTTAAGTTCATGAGAAACACCCCACATGAATGGGAGGAAGGAAATGACATCATAGTTAGAGATTCTGATTGGTCGATGTGAAACCTTAAAGTCCTATCCGGTCCAACAAGGCACCTCCAGGACGAAGACGCCTGATCAGAAGTTGAAATTAGTCTGAACTCTAACGATGTGGGAATCCAAGCAGGGTGAACGGCTGAGATTCATGTCGGTGAAATGTTAATTATTGTTTCTGGACTTTAAAGACGAGGAGCTCAGTGGTCTGAGACGTGAAAAAAAAACCTGATGATGATCTCCTTGTGGCGCTGCGGTGAGATTAATCCTTAGTCTGAGAAATGTTCAGAGGAGAGGAGTTGCTTTCTGTGCGCTCAGCTGTTCGTCTGTGACGCACTGCAAGGACGAGAAAAATTAGTCCCTCAGTTGGAGCTGGATAGAGACCCTGAGGAGTCTCTGCAGCAATACTGACCCCCTTTTTATCCAAAAACACCCAAAACGTGCGACCTACAGCCAAGGAGCGAGTGACGATCCAGTCAGTGAACGCAGGATGGTCGGGGAGCAGAACGTGATGCCGGTTGAACCTTTATTGAGTTACAATATAGATTTTTTTTTTTTTTTTTAAAAAGAAAACATTTACAAGTATTCCCGTCCTTGTTGAAATTCTTTGAACGTTCATGATCAGGACAGGAAGTCGTATTGTTGTGAAGCACGGCCTGTTCTCCGAGGATCCATGCCTGGAAACTATTTTTTAAATTTCTTCACAATAAGAATTTGAGGGGGGGGGGGGGGGCAACCAAAAACAAACAAAAGAAAACTTTTTCAATCCAGTGGTGGGTGACCCAGGTCCCTGATGAGGGTGGAGGATGAAGATGGAGCTCAGAGGATGTGAGGAGTTCAGAAAGCGTCCACCCAAACCCCCAGACCTCGCTCTGCCAGCGTGCGGTTCACTGAAATCACCTGCAGGGCGAGAAAGGAAGGATTCAGATCATTCACAAGAGAAGGCTCATTCTTACTTGAATTATTTTAGTTATTCTAGACGACGGTTTTCAGAGTGGATGAAACAGACCAGGTAAGCAAACAGTCCAAACTGAGCGTGGCTAATGTTAGAATTGTGTGGCTAACTTGGCTAGCACCTGCAGTATGTGAGCTGAATGCGTGACGTTTTGTAAATCAACATGAAATGAAATAAAATAAATGTTAACATCCGCATGGAATATGTCTTTGTTCATTAAAAAGTGTCAACAGAATTATTCTAAATACAGTTCCACATTTCAGCATCGACACAGAACAAGAGACTTGTCATATTTGAATCCCCGCTGTTTCTCTTTTAATGTTCACGGCCTGAAAACGAGTTTACTACATGTCAGTTATCCGGACATGAAAGTCTCAGAGCAGATGTGGACAGCTGCATACCTCTTCTCCCACCATGTTCCACAGGTGCACCAGAGGGAGGCCCGTGTTGTTGTCGTAGTTCGAGACCTGCAGAGGAGACAATGGACAACAATGTTCATTTAGAGAGCGTGCACACCTGAGCCCTTTGAACTGAACTCCAGTGACCTTTGTCTGATAGTTGGATTGTTTGTGGTGGGGTAGACCAACGAACTGAACTCCGGTCCTCTTCAAAACAGGGGTTTTCGCTTCCAAGTGCACCAGAGTTCAGTTCACCTTAAGTGACATCGCAATCCGAACCAAACAAGGGAAGTGAATCAAACAGCTGTGCATTGTGGGTTGAATTTGGCCGTCAGAGCGTGGCTAACATTAGCATTGCTATAACAGCAGCCTTCAGTCCTCTATGCAGGGTAACGTTCACATCTGAGCTAAATGTGGTTACACATCTCTCCGATTGAAAGGCCCGTTTAATGTGAACCAGCAGACTTAGAACTTTCTTCCACTGTCCTTTTGTTTACCTCGGGGTCATTGTGCAGCACAAGGCCGGGTGGCAGCAGCCACTGAGTTACAGCGCTAACTAGTGGCGGGAGGCTACATTACAGAACATGCGACAGGCAGTGGCGGTTCTAGACCACTTTTACTTAAGGGGCCAAACTGGGTCCAGTTGTTTTGCCAGAGAGGATGATTAAACCCATGTGAAAAGACAAAGATGATCACTTTAAAAAAATAAAAAAATAAAAATAATAAAAAAATATATATATATATATATATAAAAATCATGGTATTTTATGTTGTGTGGTATTTTGAGTCCGGTTGTTGAGTCAAATATTGTGAATGTGCTATTAGGGGGGGCTCTTCCTTTTGGAGGGGCGGCCACAGGGGGGGATCAAGCTCAGTGTTACAGGGGCACTGGCCAATGTTGGCCCCTGCCTAGAACCGCCCATGGCGACAAGTTTTGGAGTTTGACTGAGTGCAGCATGAAAGCAAACTGAACCAAATGAAGGAGCTCCAGCCCTGATCAGAACCATCGGACTTCACCTGTGAAACCCCCCTTAGTCCCTGACACGGTCTTCTCACCTGTGAAACCCCACTTACTCCCTGACACGGTCTTCTCACCTGTGAAACCCCCCTTAGTCCCTGACACGGTCTCCTCACCTGGGCCAGCAGCGCCGCTCCTCTGGTCATCTCCTCCAGCGCTGACGTGGCGTCGGCTGAGAAGCGATCCTCTCCTGATCAGACACGTTTGAAACAAAGAGTAAGAAGCTGCACAGGCTCAGACATCAACACCTTTCTCTACTTCTCGTGTCGTACCTGGAAGAGGAGCGATGTTGTCGAGTAAAACCTCAGCACCTTGAAACGGAAGTGTCACGAAATCAGACCTGCAAAATAAAAGTGGTGAAACATCATTTCATTAGAGCAGCTTCTTTCACTCTGAAGAGGAGCGACCACTTCCTCTTTGTTTCATCATTAACTGTTTGTTGTCCTATTATGAACCGAGTGTTTATACGTAGTGAAACAGCTGTTCGTCTCCAAGGCAACAGAAACACACTCTGTGTCATCGACCAAATTATTTCTTTAGTTTTTTTACTTAAATATTAAAATGTCAAAGATTTATTTATTTTGGTGCAGGAAAGATCATCTCATGTTTCAACATGAGCCTGATATAAAAACACACACACAGACCTCAAACACACACACTAATGGAGAGAGCAACTGAAACCTTTAACTTAGAAAACACTTTGTTTTTATAGATCAACAAATCTATTATTTGAAACTATTCATGAGGGGATCAAACGCGGACATGTTTCAAAGCTCTGCAGTCGTCTTTGCAGTTATAGAAACCTCCACTAGAGGTCAGTGTTCAGTGAAACTGAGTGATGGAGCAGACACTGCTTGCACAGATGATGTGGTACGACTGCGTGTGACCTTTGACCCTCACCTGATCTGTCGTAGCGAGTCGATCTTGACTCGGTCGTAGCCTCCGTAGTCGACGTATCTGATTTCCACCTCGTTCGTTTCTTTGTAGAAGGTGATCACCTGAGCTCGCCACCACGCTCCTTCCACTGCCGGAGCTGCACAGATCACGCCAACTACACACAGGGACATCATTCCCTTTAGCTTCATGGACCACCTGCCTCTCAACTCTCTCTGCTGGACTCAAACCGTCCCAGTAAGTTCAGGCTTTTCCTAACTCTGACCCCCCCCCCCCCAAAACAAAAGGCTGGTAATACGTTTAGACTTCTTTGAGTTTTGAGGAGCTCTTAGAGTGTTTTTACCTTCAGCAGGTGAGGGCAGCGCCGGTGTGCCCGGCTGCGAGTAGCACAGGAACATCTGCTGGTCGAGGCTCCGCAGGGCATGGTACGTGGGGTGTGTGTGCTGCTGCACGAAGACATGACCCGCCGACACGATGTTCACCACGATCACCTCGACCGTCACTCCACTGGGGAGCAGGAGCTGTAGAGGAGAGTGACAGAAGGGGGGTCAGTTACTTCAGATCCAGGTCTCGGTCTGCTGCTCTGATGAAGAATCAGACTCACCCAGAAGGGACCTGAAGTTCACGTGTTTCAGTTTGGACTTTAAATAAATATCTAGATGTAAACATGACTCAGAGATTAAAGCCTCTGGAAACTGAACTCATGTTTGTCACGTCGACTCTGAGAGGGCCACACGACATCTTCACGTTCTGAACTTTAAGGTCGTCGGGTGTGAAGTGGGCAGGGTTAACTCTGAGCTTGATCACGTAATAGCTTCAAACCAATAATAAAACACACATGTCTGTCCCGCCCAATCACGTGCATATAAACTACTGAGCTCCTCCCACTTAGCCTCCGTGCTCGTGTGAGCCGTTCCTTTCTGAACATCCACCGGCGAGGACGACATCTCACCATGCGGGTGAGAGCTTTAAGATCATCGTTTTTGAATGTGACTGACTGCTGCTGTCTTCTGCAACGTGATGCACGTTCTCCCACAGCAAACATCCCATAATAACCAGCATGTTTATATTCATAATGAGAACTAGTCGACTAAGGGGCGTCTTACCCACGAGGTCATAGGAAGTGATGGTAACGTGAGGGGGGGCGGAGGCGGTGCATAAAGGTTGGTCAGGTCCAGATCTTTGAACTTCTTCCCGATGAGAGACAGAGCTTTGTCGACCTGCTGCTGCGTGCCTACACAGACCAAACACAAGTCATGAGATGTGTGCGTTCATGAGAAGACTCGATGTGAGAACTCGCTGTTTCTCAGACTCACCCTCCACGTGACAGATCTGGAACTCCTGTGTGTAAGGCAGAGTGGAGATGTAGATCTTGGCGCCCGAGTTCTGCTTCAGGAAGCTGACGTATCTCCCTTGTTTCCCGATTAACCGGCCGACCAGATGCTGGAAGACAAATACAAGCAGCAGAGACAACAACCCGTTAAACTGATAACGTTTCACACATCAGAACATCTTACTCAGCGAGGAGCTCCCGTCCATCCAGCCGTCTCCACTCTGACAGTTTCTGTGTTTCTAATGAAGACACACGTCAGCTGAAGTCTGACTAACGACACGCTACACGTCCAAAATAAGTATTAGTGGTCAAGGGAATTTACATAATGAAGCACAGGAGAAGTCCAGACTGAGCCAATGAGGAGGAAGTAAACACACACTGACACATAAATACATATTCACTCGCTGAGATGAAATCTTAAACTGAAGAGATGATGCAGCTCCTCCTTGAGGTCAAACAGTGTCAATGCATGCAGCCTGGCAGCATCATAAAACGATCAGCTGTTTGAGTCTAAACTCCGTCACGGTGGACTCTGATCTGCTCAACACACCTGTTAATTATTAACTCGCTTATTCCGTGACACTGAAATGACCTAGGGTTTGAGCTGCTGTATTTATCACAGGTGGCCCAGTTCAGGTGTGTTCAGACTCACCTTTGGCACCTCGATTTCCCAGATGATGAGCTCCGAGCTGGCGGACGCCGTGTGGTTACTCTGACTGTCGCTGAGGCCCATCGTGCAACCGCTGTCCACAGAGTCCATACTGTTCACATCAGAGCCTGCAGAGACAAGAATACACACCTTTACCTGCACGACCTTTACCTGCACGACCTAATGCAACATCACCTAAGGGTGTTTTCACATTAGGGACCCTAGCCCAGATCGGAGTACCCTTGACCCCAAAGACCAGTTCATTACCAGGGCCACCTGACTATGTGTACGAGAGTACGGTCTGTGGGAGATGTAAACACGACTGTGCTACAAACAAGGAAGTGGACAGCTATATGGCGTTATTCGAAACGTCTCCTGACGCTTCAAAACAGTCGTATCTGGGCAGCACCGGCTGTTAGTCTCATGACCCAGTGGGGCGCCATCAGGAGTTTTCTCCCAATTCCTGCAGCACACAATGTTACCAATGACGACGCACAATGCTAGACAACACTCAACGACGCTCACATCGATTAGGTTATACACCACGGCCACAATGCATACCCGTGTTTGAGCCTATGCACACCTCTTATAATCATGCCAGGGCCAAAGAAGTGTACCCCTAACGCCTCCATTACACACAAACTGGACTTTAGGGGGTCAAGCATGCTCGCGCAGGGTACGGATAGCCTAATGTGAGTGCGCCCTAAATTTATCCAGAATGTTCCCGTGGTTACAAACTTCTACAGACCGCTGAGACAAACATTTCTTAACCTTCTGCAGTCAACAGACTCAAACATGTCCAACCTACAAGAGAGGACAAATGCAGAGCAGGGGGTCGAAACCAGCAGAGCTGAGGACCTGACGGTTTACCCTTTGACCTCTTCACATTTTCAAACAGAAGCTCAGCTTTAAAACTCTGAACTGATCCTTTAATACGAGCACACTCTGAAATCAACTTGACCTGTAGACCTGATCTCTGAGTCACAAGGTCACGTGTAATAAAGAAGCAGTTTATTTACTTCTGACAAGTCACAAATAAACACTGAAATGGACTGACAGCCACCTCATTATTTTGCATGCTTCTTAATATTAAATGAATAACTCTCTAAACATCACTGACTTACTGAGACTAATATCAGGAATAAACAGAGAGCTGTCTAACCTCCGGACTGATCCGTCTCCTCACACGCCCCATGCGCTCCGTTCCTCAGTCCCATCCCGTTCAGCCTCTTTATGTCTCCTGCAGCGTCCACTGAGATGTCGTCTCCTTCAGCCTGAATCGTTTCCTCTGCCGCCGACTCCACCAGCGACGGAGTCTGGGAGGTTTCTCTCACCGACAGGTCTGTCACCTGGATGATGTCCGTGTGGTTGTCAAACATGCTGTTGTGCAGGTCCTCGCTGCTGACACCGTCCTCGGAGTGACATGTGCTGCAGGCTGAGTCCTCGGCGAGCGCCACCGCCTCGTCTCCTCTCAGCTTGTTGAGTAGAGACGAGCTCTGAGCAGCCGGCCAGTGTCCTCTCTGTGCACCGAGTGTCTGATGACTTCGGAGCTCTGCAGGCTCCCATCCTGCAGCCGAGGAGATGCCATTAGACATCCCCTCCTTATTGCTCTGTGACGGGCTGGTCAGCAGGTGGAGCTGCTCCGCTTTGATTGGCTCATGTTGGGAGCAGAGTCTGCCGCTGTCTACCTGGCTGCTGGTGACACCAAGGACCTCCTGGGTGGCTGCCGAGATGACCTCAGTTATAAGTCCAGCTGCCAGAAGCTCCAGATCCGGCTCCTGGTCATCCTGGGTGGTCTCTGACAAGTGAGCCGAGGAGTCCTGGATGGCATTAAGGGATGTGGAGGCCAGAGACGTGGAGGGGAAGGCCGGCGTGCTGGTCAGGACGTGTTGGTGGAAATCCTGCGCTGAAGGCGGGGTCTCCAGAGAGTCAGCCTCTGATGGGGTCACTCTCTGGACTCTGGCGGGGGTCAGGGTACAGACTAGCATTTCTTCCTGTGCATTTACAGTGCTGTGGTGCTTTGAGACCTCCCCCTCGGGCTCTGGCCGCTCTGCGTCAGAGAGGGAGGAGGAGCTTGACACTTTGGTAGACTGTGAGGACACGATGGCCTCCTCTGCTGCTGGCTCTGGCTCTGATAGCGAGCTTCTCTCCGGCTCTTTCTGTTCCTTCAGTGACAGCTGTAGCTCTTCTTCTTTCCCAGGTGAAGTCTGAGCGGAGAGGGGTGGGACTCTGTCCAGGTGAGGAGCAGCATCCTCACATATCGGCGCTACTTCCGAGGAAACATGTGTTCTCGGGTTCCCGCCCTGTGTAGGTATGTGGGCGGAGCTAACTGTATCATTTGTAGGGCTCTCTGTGCCTTTCTCCACCAATCCATTGCTCCCTTCTGTCGAAGCCGTTCTCAGGCCCATCGCGGCGGGGGCCCCCTCGGGACCATCATGGCCTATAAGGCGGTCTTTCTTCCGTGAGATGTACCACCACCAGCCGATCAGTGCGAGGACTCCGGGCAGCGTGTAGGGAACGACAGAGCGAAACCTCAGCGGCATTTCCTCAGGACGCTAACAGCTACACCTGGAAGGTAGAAACAGACATTCAATATTAGATCCACTGAAAGGACAACAGGTCTGGATCTGCATGCCGGTCTAAGATTCAGTGTTATAAGTGACATCTTTATTTGTTTTTCTCATTAATGAGCTCTGAACAAAAACACATCCAAGCTTTTAGACACTCTGCAAACCAAAGAAAACTCTGAACATGATCTTAAAAGACTACAAACATCTGACCTGAACCATGAGGACCACGGCTGTCTTTCTTTTGGAGCTTTTTATGCCTTTATTTTGAAAGTCAGGACAGTGGGTAGAGTCAGAAATGTGTGAGTGAGTGAGTGAGAGAGAGAGCCAAGGGGGAACAACATGAAGGAAGCGAGCAACAGGTCGGATTCCAACCCACTGGTGTCCCCTATTCCTGTTTATTTAATGCTTTGCAAACAAAGGGTCAAAAAAGAGATTTGGCATTCTTTATCTGATACCTAACCCACTAAAAACACACGACCAGACCCCTCCAAAACTTGATCCTGAAGATTAACTCTTTGCAATGAAGGTCAGCTGAGATAATAAAACAAATGTTTCAAACTTTGTTCATTAATGGATAAACATAAAATAGGGGGCGTATACTTCCTAGATTAACAGCTAAATATGACCTCCCTCCAGTCTGAAACAAGAACTCAAGATTTCTCAGATCTCTGGAAGTAACCTTCAAGAAGTCAATACTTCAAGGGTTAAACGGCTGCGTGTTTCATTTAAATAAAGTTTGAAATAAATCCTGAAAAAACTCAAAGAGCAGAAAAACAAACAAACAGGATCGATGGAGTCGAAGCAAACCAGCTCCAGCTGTGTGTGTGTGTGTGTGTGTGTGTGACTGTTAAAAAAGGACGATTGCACATGCCTTTCCTTAACAGACCTGCACAGGAACGAGTCACAAGACCCGTCTCAATCACAACCAGCCATGCTGCCCGACACGTCTCGCTCTGACAGCTGCTGCAAGCTTCATACATGTACGTGTGTGTGTGTGTGTGTGTGTGTAAGAGCAAATGGGGGACTTTTGACCTCTCTGGCAACTGTCCACCTGCTCGACGTAGTCAACTGTCTCTCTGCAGGCAGCACAGGCTGGGGATAACTGTCAACATTAAGTAACAACCAGAGACTGTTAAAATTAATTAAACCTGCAATCATTTTAGTGTCCAGAAGGGGGCGACTCCACTGGTTGAAGAAAGAAGAAAATATTTCAACCCCCAAGATTGATGCGTGGGCTAAACACAGGCTCACAGCATCAGCGTTTGACAAGTGTGGCTAACATTAGCAGTGCTAGCAGCTAGTCATTCGAGAGGCTATCTGTTCAGTGTGCTTGTTTCCATCAGGGTGGTAGGGTATTCCTCAGAACTACAGCCCCATCTAGTGGCCGGCAGTTACAGTTTACAAACAGCATGACCAGCATAGCGGGCCTGAACTGATCAAAATACTCAGTTTAAACGATCAGTGATTCTGGTGCCGACTGTAGAGGGTGCTGAATTTACTGGCTAATTGCATACATCCCTTTTGTTTTGTTCTTCTCCATCCGATCATTAAAACTACAGATTCAAGAACAGCCTGCTGACAATCCTAAAAGAATAATTTATTTTTTACATCATTCTCCAGAAACTAAAGTCTTAACTTGATCGGGATCAGCTCTCTTTTTATTCAATATTACCTGCTGACGAGAACACCCGTCAGAGCGCACACACGTTCCTGTACACAGATATTGGTGAGCCAGCTTGGAGAGTTGCAGGTTTGTAGTGACCCTGTGTCTCTCCTCCAATCAGTGGGGCTGCTGTCTGCAGAGAGACAAGTCTCCCTCGTGTCAGTCTGCATCTCCTGAATCACCCCCCCACAACATTACTGTCTTCATTTACTGAGGTCAAGAGGTCATGCAATGTACAAGTTATGCTGAGAGTGCCCTCTGCTGGATCAAACTGTAAACTACTTCAGACGGTGTGATTATTTAGAATATGAACACCTCGTTACAGTTTAAATGTGAACATCCTACTTAGTTTGAATGATTAAGAAGTGATGGCTCAAACACTCAGTCAATGCAGAACATGAAATGAGCTGCAGCAGAAACATGACATCATCATTAATGTGTGTCTCACTGATTACAGATATAAGAGCCTCTCATTGGTGGACTTTAATACTCTCCAGCTAAAGCTGTTGAATATAAAAATGTGATTCTACAGCTGAGCAGCTCGAGCGAGCAAACACACAAACATGTTGAGCTCTCGTCTTTAATAATGCAACGACGCGCAGACTGTGACAGAAAGGGGAGGAAGAGAACACTGGCCCACGCGGCCCTCTAACACGAGGATCAGACTTTCTTACAAACCAACAGAAGTCTAACTGAAGTGTGTTGATACACTAGCTGACTTTATATGATAATACTGAGTAACTAATGTGACAGACTGTTAGAGGGTGTGTGGACCCAGCACCAACTCCTCCAGGAAAATAATCACAACCCAAATTCAGGATATTTTTCAACCAGATCAGATTCATTTACTGAAAAATTGTGTAGTTTGGACCTCAGTTGGTGCAAAACATGTGAGCAAGAAACTGAACAAAACAAACATTTTTAAAAAGTGCTTCACAGACTTTTTTTTTTTTTTACAGTTTTCTTTCCAGGCAGACATTCGCGACCCACTGAAAATGGCTATGTGACCCCCCAGTTGAGAACCACTGGTCTTAAGGACATTATCACCAACTAGTCACATAAACGCTTCAGTTTGTCAGGATGTTAAAACTTCTTCTCACGTGAGGAGAGTAAGCGAGTCTTTGAGTGTTAGGAGTGGCTTCAGGTTCTGAAGAGAATTATTTAACAACTCTTGAAAACTTCATCCATATTTTAAAATTATCATAAACTTTTCAGTCTTTAGATATTAATGCTGCAGACTTCATCTTAAAGAAGTCTTTAAGTCTTTAAAGGGTCCCTGAGGGGAGACATGATGTAAAAAGAAAGGCGTGGAAGTGGCGGATGGAGGTTTGACCGTAAAGCCACCGCCTACAGAAACAACAAATACTGTAAAAAAAACTAAGTTTTGAACACCAAAACAAAGGCTTACAACCAAAAACAACAACACTTCCTTATCAAGATGTGTCTGCTTTTGTGTAGACTACACCTGGTTGACAGGTTAAGGGTTAACCCCCCCCCCCAGTCTCACCATGAAAAACTAAAATCTGGGGTCTCAGCTCCTCTGTCTATGTACAGATGTAAAGATCAAGTCCACCCCAGAAACCTCTGCAGGTGAACTAGAACACAGCCAGCCTGCACATACAGTTCTAAGAAATCGTGGCACACACACCAGGAGTACATTCACCTTGGACAAGGTTACAACAGAAGCTGTGAACAAATGTGGATCACTCCTCACAGGTTAGACTGAAGCATGCCGCTTTTATATTGACCTCAAAGTCCGGATTCAGACGGTGACCTTGGTGTTCAGATATCCTGGGAGTGGCCAGGCAGCGTGTTACAAACCTGTCGGTGTGCTTACTACAGGCAGCATAATGGCACAGCCCACTAACCTGACACACTGCAGCATTACATGTGACATGTCACAGGTGTGAGATGTTCATACATGCCGATCTGTAGCTCGACTCGTAGAGCAATGTTACCGCAAAATATCACTAGCAGGTACTCTGCAATCATGTGTTCATAGGTAGCTTAAATTGTCTTTTTTTTTTGCAAGCAGTCCGGCTGACATGTATGACGGGACTGCAGCATCCCTTATGTTTAAACTCAAGCTAGCTGGGATTTATGTTAGCTACAACAGCATGCTAATCATTAACTTAAAATAAAACCAGCCTGATGGAAACTGTAGTATTCTGCTTTACACAAACACGACAGGCTGTCTGGGGGACTCACCGGGTTGTTGAGGGTCATAATGTCAACTTTTAGCGAGGACTTAACGTAGCCTAAGCCCGACCATCCCCGCTAGCATCGTGCTAATAATATCTCCCCTGTGGGTCCTTGTGGCTCATGATAAATAATCCCGGTGTCCTCGGCTAAAAACTCGCCGAGCATTCAACTACAACACACACAGGCTAACTAGCATGCTATGTGGCTATCAAACAGCTGAACGGGAGACTGCATTAGCCAGTCGTATAATGTTACAGCATCTAGACAGACTAAAACTAAACTAATTAAAGTATTCACTGTTTTTTTCATTCATTTTAATTCGTCAAACCCGTCTGCTACAATAGAGATTAAAGACCATGAAGCCCTAACTTAGCAATGACAGAGTAAAATAAACTTTATGAATGTGTCTTGTTTAAACGCCGAATTCATCCGAACACCTTGACCGTCCATGTGAGACCGTATGTTCGGTATACACAGACACAAAGCTCGGTGAATACACCAGAAACACATGATTGATCAAATATAACGTGGGGTTTGGCGTAGCACGATCAGGAGCGACATCCGACTGGTGTTATGTCGAGAAATGCATCCCTACCAAGAATCACATTCACCTCGCAGGACAATGTAATCTAATGGCAAACATCATTTCTACTCTGCCGAATTTTAATTCCACACTTAAATTTACTCTACAAACATAGGTTTTATATATAGCAGGTTATATTTACGCAGGTTAATGAAAATGCGACTTCTACCGAGTCTGCAGAACTATAAGGACACTTAAAATGTATTAAGTATAAACTTCAACAATATACATAATTTGTCACCACAGATCACCCAGAAATAAGATTTAAACCGTTTTCTGACACTTCAGCGAGGTGGATGCAAATCTCTGCATGAACGCATTTCTCGACGTAACACCGGCGCAGAGGTGTTTTATGACATCCCAGTCTTCACGTGTTGACGAAATAATCGGACTACATAGTTATCACTGGGAGAAAACTGCGTGTAGGCTACACAACCACTTGTAAAGCAAGAGAAAGTTATGTTACCCACGATTAGGAGTTTAACCTTGCTGTTGCTCTAAAGTTTGTTATCTGCCGACTTTTTCTACACCGATTCACTTATTAAAAAATGTAATCTACCAATTTACACGTATATGCTGTAGCATTTAGTTGCCGTGCACATGGGGAAATATAAATTAGTTGATAAAAAACACAACACATTAAAGTTGTTGCGTCCGTGCTGGAAGTTTCAAACTCGCGGAATGGGGAAAATCCGAGGAGCACGTGAATGCATCACACAGCATGGCTCGTAAGGAGGCCGCGGTGTATGATATGAAGTTAGCAGGCTAGCCAACCTCAGTGGTTATACTGCTAACACGTTAAATAATGTCGACAAACACCGTCATGTAAAGGCAGCTCATCGTACAGTAACCCTCCTACATCACTCCCGGCCCCACACACTGTGAATTAATGAAAGCTTTGTGTTTAAGGACACTTTCTATGATGTTAGGCCGGCTCACAGAGCACTGTGAACGCACCAACACGGACCAATGGGGGCCTGTGTCGGACTGACGCAGGGTTAAAGGACATTCAGACCCACAGAGGGACAGAGAGAGAGCTGCTGTCCTATACGGGCCGCAGACCTTCATGTTAGCATGATAGCATGTCCGTGGCCTGTGCACCAACACAGCACATGTGCACCATTATTAAAGAGTTATAATAACGCATGCGAGCATCAGATTGGTGTTACACAGAGAGGAGGAACGAGGCTAATCTAACTTACACAACAGGAGCTAGCAGCAGTGTGTGAAGAGGAGCAGGCTCGTTGTTCAATGACATGACGGGATTACTGCTCTCAGTCTGTCACTACACTGACCGCACACACGCGGGATCATGTCTGTGCGGGTTTTTTACACTGTGCGTGGATCTGAACCCAGTCATGCTCTGTGTGTGAGTGTGATGTGAGTGTGAGTGTGTGTGTGTGTGTGTGTGTGTGTGTGTGTGTGTGAGGGACATGATGTAGATGCTATCGGCGTGCCCCCCTCAGGTGTGTGAAACGCGCTCCTTCCTCTCCTTCACGTTACTTACAGTATTTCACGGTCCTCGGTGCCGCCACTATGAGAGCGATACTGCTGATAATTGTAGAGAGTCTTCAAACGTGTCCCTGTGTGGAAAGTCAGCCTCTCCTCCCCACGTGTTCACCGACTAGCACCAGTCTAAAAAAAACACACAGGCTAAACAGCTGGTTAAATCTCGCGATACTTCCAGTCTCGCGACATCTCAGAATGCGGTAAAGGAACACTTTTTTAACAAATAAAATAAAATGTTCATCAATAATAACTATTATAATATATGATATTTATATATATAATAGAATAATTTATATATATAATAGAATATATTATATTCCTAGAATGTTAGTTGTGAGTTCTTATGCTTACATGGGCAGACATGTTTACATTTCAAATTAAAATGTTGGTAAATTAATTATTTGCTGTTCTTTGTTGTATTTGGGATAAAAATAACAGTTTCATGATTTTATTAAAATATGAGCTATGAGTTAATAAAAAAATGTATGAACAGCCTCTGTCTCCCATGATGCATTGCTCCTTTAGGCTATAATTTACCCCCTTCTTTTAAAAGTTCAAATTCCAACTTTTAAACTTTTTTAAAACATTTAATCAGCTTCTTTAAAATCGTGATTTACATGTTAAGTTTAAAAAAGTGAAGAAACTGAACAACAGTTAAGATGAATTAAATCATGTTGACCCCGTGGTGACCTTCAGGAACACGTTACCCCGTGGTGACCTTCAGGAACACGTTACACCGTGGTGACCTTTAGGAACACATTACCCCGTGGTGACCTTCAGGAACACGTTACCCCGTGGTGACCTTCAGGAACACGTTACCCCGTGGTGACCTTCAGGAACACGTTACCCCGTGGTGACCTTCAGGAACACGTTACCCCGTGATGACCTTTAGGAACACAAGAACTTTAAAAAAGTTTATTTAAAAATGTTTTCACAAACAAAATCCGAACGCTAACAAACATGAACGAACGAATCAACGAACAACACCTGGTAGGTGTCGTCCCTGTACGCTGTCATTTTGGATGTAAATGATTTGTTTGTATTTGAAGGTTGTGAAGAAGTCACATGACCTCTGAGTGTTTGATCCCGCCCCCCTTCAGTGTTTCTCATGAAGTTAGGAGGACATTCCTGAACTGTGATTGGCTGTTTGCCCTGTCGAAGGCGGGACTTTTGCTCAAATCAGCTGTTGCATCTTCAGGCTGCTGGGCGCTTCCTTTATATTTCATGTGGTTCGTATTTAAACAGTGACACACGGAGACGTTTTCAGAGGGTTGTTAATGTGAACCTTGAGAGAAAAGTCTTTGAAGCTCATTTTAAATTTCCTGTCTGATGTCCAACCTGAAGAATTCACCATCTGATTGGTTGAAAAATATCAGAGGTTTTTTGGTGAGTTTTCATGAAGAGTCTGTGCTGAGGCTGTTTTTTAGGATCACTTATCTAAATGTTAATACATTATTACTGAGATAGAAAGGGTTAATGAATGTGTTCATAACACCTCCGGCCCCCCCTGCATGGTCAGTGATCAGGTTCAGCCCCCCGCAGTCAGAGAAGTCTGGCCAAGCCCCTTTATGGGGGTTTAGGATTATGAATTATAATCTGACTGTGACGGTTTGAGTCGTTTAATTTCATCAGAAGGAAAAAAAAATACACAAGATTTATTTCGTGAATACTTTAATAATTCAAGAAGAAAGTTTTACAGATTTAATGTATTCAAGAAAGAAATGAACTCAATAAATAAATGATTTACACAGAAACGCTCACAATGATTGTAACGCATGGAGAAAGTTTATGGACCAAACGAGAGTGTGAGAGGAAGACGCTTGTCTGAAAGATTAATCACAAGAATAACTTCAGACATTTAGTTTTGATTGTTAAATTACGTTGAAATCTTCGTGAAGAAGATCGTTCTCCTCAGGACTCGATTACATTACACAGACACCCGAAGCGCACTTTGTAGTCCCGGCAGCGTCTTCTCTTCTGGTCTCGGTTCCGACAGACAAATCCTTTATCTGGACTGTAGCTGAAAGTGAAACATGTTGAAGCAGTTAGTGAAGATTCACATTTCTATGAAAACTGTTGACACAATATTAATAAGTGAAGGTTTCTGATTGAACATGAGTCCTAAAGTTTAAATCCTGACCCTGACCCTGACCCAGAACATGAGTCCTAAAGTTTAAATCCTGACCCTGACCCAGAACATGAGTCCTAAAGTTTAAATCCTGACCCTGACCCAGAACATGAGTCTTAAAGTCTAAATCATGACCCTGACCCATAACATGAGTCCTAACGTTTCAATCCTGACCCTGACCCAGTCTTAGTCCTCTGAAAGATGTCACGAGAATAAAGCTGATGAATCAAGGAGTCCTCGGTTAGGAAACCTGGATCGGATTGTTCATTATGATTAAAATGATCCAGATCTACTTTTTTCTGTCCAGGATCAGAATCAATCCATCCTGGCTGTTCTCTAAACCTCCTTCTGTCCTATAGTCCATTCTGACTGGTCCAACATGAAGTATGTGAACAAATATGAAATCCTCAATTTGTCATAGTACCCGGATGTCGTTCTGATTCAGTAAAAATCTACAGTCTGCATCAGACCAGTCTGTTTCCCACAATGCAAAGCGGCAGGTCAGAGGTCGACATGATGGACAGCAGCGCCCATCATAACATAGGAAGTAATCCCAATCAGATCAATCCACACAACGAGACCACCAGTTATCTTTGTTGATTCTCTAAATCATGAAAATCTAAATGAATCTCTGGTCATCTTTTCTCAGACTGTAAGTGGACGCCACATTGTAACAGCGTTTAACGCCAGCTGGGCTGTTGTTTACTTCCTCATTCCAAGACCAGAAACCAGCTTAGCCAGGCCTGGTGTACTGCAGAGTAACCACCGACTGCATTGGACAGTAGTCTGTCGTGGGCCATTGAGAGATCCTGACAGCTGATTTAAAACCAAAGATCTTATTTGATGATATTCAGAGATATTTGGTGAACATGCTTCCTTTTCCACCCTGACGTCTTCTTTATCTCTGTGACTGAAGCAAACAGTCATTTAACAGCAAGTCTACATCCTCATGTGTTTATTTACTTCCTGTCAGGAGCCTGACTCCGCCCTCTCCAGGGATCAGGGTCAAAGTCATCTCAAATAATTTCAACAACTCAAATGAGAAGTTTGATCCAGATCAAATCAAAGACTGGATCATTGATTAAGTCTGATCTGTCACCTTTGTTTTTTCTGAATGACCTGATTTGAAGATTTGATTTCATCTGAAGATCAGAGACTAAATTTTTCATCACTTCAGATTCAGTTCTTACGAACAAAAGATGTCACATGTAAAGAAAAAGTGAATAAATGAACAGTACATGGATAAATGAGTCTATTGGATTTGTTGTATTTTGTGTGATGAGCTCAAACGTTCATAAAGTCAGGAGATTGAAATACAGCTTGTTGAGTGTGGCTCTTACATATAGAAGGCCTGCCCGGTGGAGATGGCCGTTTTGTTGGTGTCCCTGGTGAAGACATCGATGTAGAGAGGACTTTCACAGATTTCTCCTGGATGATCTTTTCTCAGGTTTCTCAGAAGTTCCCTGTCCCCAGATCCACCCGGATTGTCCCGGTTAAACCACGTTGTCCAGCACACTGGTCAGGATAAAAGAGACAGCGTAATTGTTTAGTCACAAGAATCAAAAACCATCCTAACTGCCTGATTTTGAGGAAAAGTTACCTTCTTGACTGCAGAAGTTAGACGGACACATGAAACGAACACGATAATCTTGACACGTGCCGTTGGTCTGCTCTGAGTTTTTACACATGAAGCCGGAGGTTGTGTCAGCTCTGCAGAAAGAAACAAAGGAGAATCAGTCAGGACAACTTTACTACAGAAAAAGCCTCATAAGAAAGCAAAACAGCTGTTCGAAATTGTTTTTATCTGCATGACATTTGGCACCATCACTTCTCCTACAACATAACACCAGATCAGGTGCAGGGACCAAAGTATAATCCAGAGTCCCTTTCACTGTTGAACTCCTGACAAATTTCAGACATATAGGTCCTGGCATTTTCCAGACTAGCACTCACACACGTGGCCCACACTAGGAGATTGTTGGTGTCAGACCCACTCTTGAAAGGTTCTGTTTACGTCAGTGGGGGCTGGGCCTCAGGAGAGGTGGGAGGTGTGTTCAGTACTGTCTCCTGTTTGTTTGTTTTTTCATATCGCTAAGACATGTCGAACGTTTCCAAAATACAAACACAACAGTGTCATTATAATACAGACAACTGAGGCAAGCAGCTCAGCTCAAGAAGAACAACGCCATCGCTCCGCCCACTCATTCAGCATCAATGTTCCAGACGATTACCTGCTGTGTCCACAAATGGACTCACCCTGACTTCACAAAGACTTTTTACAGGAGGCTGCAGGAAAAAAGTCTCCTTTAAGCTAAGGTAACTTTGAAAATGTGTATTCTCACATTGAGTCAGCCATGCTAATGTCTGGAGTTTTTCGGGAGTACTGTGCATGTTTGAAAAGGGCGCACATTGAATACACAACATCGACATAAACCTCCTCATGCAGAATGCATACAACACATTATCATGGTTTATTTAACAAATTCAAGGAGCTAAGATGGTCGACTCTGCACTTACACAAAAATGGCATCCCCTGTGTCAGCTACTCCGAGTCCAGCTGTAGTTTGGACCTCGATCTGAAGTGGATTATCACAGATCTTTCCTGGGTTTTCATACTTCAGAACACTAAGGCTCTCGAAGTCTCCAGTTCCACAAGGGTCATCTCTGTCAAACCAGTCCGTCCAGCATCCTGAAGAAGTCATAAAGTAAGGAATAAAAAAACTGAGCTTCAAATTGGACTGAAAACTCTATTAAATAAAACCAACATTTGATTGATCATATTTCAGAAACTCCACTGACTCTTAATGCAGCAGTTTATTAAACATTGTTTAATCGTAGTAGTTGAGTATAGTTAGATGCTTACCGCTATCTGAGGGATAGCCGTCAATCTGTAGGTTGATTTCTGTTGTTTTGGTTAGTGTGCTGCTGGTTGTTGTAGGAGTTACTGTAGTGGTTGGCGTGCTGGTTGTGTCCTGAGCTGTTGGGCACTTGGTTGGTTTGAGGGTCTGTCGCCAGCTCGTTATTTTA